AGCAGGGCGAATGTAAAAAAAATGTTCATTTTCGTTTTAAAATAATCTTTCAAGTCACTATTTACATAGTCAAATTTTAATTGTTTTTTTACTTGTTTTCGTTAGTTATTTGATAAAATAATAGTCCCATCACTTTTGTTTTGTAAAACTTTTGATGTACTTTTAAAATATATACTTTTTATTTTAAAATTTCACACCTATAACAAAATAAATTTAATTGAAAATTATTTCAATCAAATCTCGTAAATCAAACTGGGAAGTTCCCTTTAGGACGAAGAGAGTAATAATACTAGTTTTGTTTTTGAGTATTTAATTTATCGAGTTTTGAGTTTTTACGATACATTTCATAAACTTTGACATTTAGTTAGATAAATTTATATTAGATACTGATATAATAATATTTTATTAAATTTATGTTATAAAATATTTTTAATATATCGTTTAATATATCAAATTTATATAATATTTAGTTTTTATTTAACGGAGAATACTCTAGATAGAAGTAAAAAACTATAAAAAATATCAAAATAGGGTTAAGTAAAAAACTATGATAATTAAATATAATTTTCACTTTTCTTTCTTTCTTTAAAGTGAAAAGGGCTAAGCAAGCGCCTTTCTCTATCATTTCGACAAATTGTCAAATTGTGTCAACACATTGATTTTTTTTTATAAAATTTTTAAACTAATCCCTTTGTCCTAAAATGTTTCGCAAAATAAAATGAAGAAAAGTAAAAATTTTAAATTTATGTTATTTAAAAATTGGTATAAATTGCATTATGAGTACATTCGTTATATTTGCTTTTTATTCAACTTTGGTTAAAAATGTTGTTAAACCATAGAATTGAAATTCCTAAGGTTTCAACCATGCACAATTTTAAAATTTTTTTATGACTAATGGTATAATTTTGAAAGTTTAGAGGAAAAGCACACAATTTGTGAAAAGTATAGAAACTAATGGTACACTTCCGAAAATTCGAATAAAAACATGTACTTTTTGAAGAGTTCAGGAGTAAATCACGCACTTGATTGAAAGTGTAAGGATTAATGGTGTATTTTTTAAGTTGGGGGGGGGGGAGATATGCACTCTATGAAGAGTTCAGACATAAATGACAAAAAACTCATAAAATAAGATTTGATAAAAATATTTTATTTCATCAAATAATCAATCAAAACGCGCAAATAAACAAAAATTTTAGAGACTTTTAAATAGTGAAAAATGTAATCCTTTATATATATAAAGCAGAGTCGGAGCTGTAGGAACGCGACATTTGGCAAAGCTGAGGAGTGACATTTGGCAAAGTTGAGGAGTGACATGTGGCAAATTGAGGTGGCAAGAGAATTAAATGAAAAAAATCACACGACCCATAAAGTAAGCTTTCCTTAGCCGTAAAAAACCCGGACCTTTCCTCATCTCGGATGAATGCACCATTCCTTTGCAATTAGAACATGAATGCATAATTCCTTTGCAATCAGAGATGCAAGAGAAAGAGAAAAAGAAAATTTCAACAAAAAAAGATAGAAAAGGTACGTACTTTAAATATTGTTTTATCTTAATATATTTAATTCTGTTTTATTGTTTTAAGGTAATTTGATACATAACATTTTTGAATTTTTTAATATAACAAAATCAAAGGGGATATTTTAGTGACCGGAATTTTTGTATTTAAAATTTATATGGTTGCTTTTTAATGAGCATTGAAAAATTTTCTTATCTTCATCTCTAAATCGTTAGTATAGATAAATTAATTTATGTTAAATAAATAAAGTTTAATACAAAATTTAAAAGTAGATGTCAATTTTAGAAGGATTTAACAAATTCTCCATATGAAAATGAACACTCCAAGAAAAAATAAAAAATATGTGTACTTTTTTTATTATAGTCATGTTATTTTATCAATTATAATCTGTATCCGTAAAAAATTAAATGTCGTTCATAGGTTTCACAGAAATCATGGATAATTAAAATGTATAATTATTGATTTATCTAGGTATGTATATAGCTCACTGATTATTTTTTATCAATTTTATATTTACATCAATAGGAATAAAATGGTGTCTAACCATGACTCTTTAATTTCATTTTTCTATATTTTTTGTGAAAAAAATAGTTTATACATATTGAATATTTTAAACAATTGAATGGATGAATATTAACAAAGTTGAGTAAAAATATATACATATTTTAAAAAAATTTAAAAAAATTCAAAACTTTGCAATAAATTTGATATGAAATTGGTGAATATAAAAAAATGTGCATACATATTTTAAAATAAAATGATATGCATGCGAGGAAAAAACATTTAGTCATTGATACAGAATGATAAATGTAAATAATTCAAAGTTAAAATATAAATTTTAAATTGGAAAATTTACTTATATCTAACACGTAATTCATTTATCAAAATGGCAACTAAGTTGTGTTTAACTGAAATAATTAATACTCCATATATATATTCATAGTCAGAGGAATTTACCTAAATAACACTAAAACATAATAGATATCATCCTAAATAGGACTAAAATATAGAGAAAAGTACCAAAATAGGACTTTCATGTTTTTTTTTCCCGGAATAGGACTTTGCATTGTGGTAATGTGACTTTGCATTGTGGTAATGTGGCAGTGTACATGTGCAAATTACTATACTTTCTTGGTAATGTATATGACCATGTTTGGTAATGTAAGTCCTATTTCGGAAATAAAAACATGGAAGTCCTATTTTGGTATATCTTCAATGTTTTAGTCCTACTTTGGTCTTTCTCCCAAAACATAATGACTTTCCCTAAATAGCAACATATGTTTTTTATTTCCTAATGTAGTACTTTTAGTCATTATTTAGATAAATGTTCACTGTCACAAGATATTATTTCTCCTTCTAGACATTATTAAGTGTTAATTAAGGGATAAAAAGTTCAAGGCTGTTTGGCAACTTCTGAATAGATAAGTGCTGAACCAGTAAGAGGTCTGAACCATTAAGAACTATTATATTGGTTAACTATTCAGAGGCAAATGTCTGATCAATTCAAATAAAAGGTCTTAACTATTCAGACTCTGTATAATATTTAACCCTTCAGAGGCAAATATCTGAACCATTCAGACATCTGAACCATTAAGAGGCTGAAACAAACAGCCCCTAAGTCTTATATTGGGAAAAAATGACCTTTATTTTAGTGCTATTTAGTGCAGATATGAAAAATGAAAAATTTGAAAAAATATATAGGGAAAAAGTTTGAAAAATGAAAAATTTGAAAAATGAAAAATGAAAAATTTGAAAAATGAAAAATTTAAAAAAGTTTAAGTCTTATATTGGAAAATGACTTATGTTTGAGAATATGAAAAATTATTCTTTTTTTGAGGATAGAGCACTATTGGCACCAACTCGCGAAGTAGTTGAAATGATAAATGAATTTGTTCTGTTCCTCATTCTTGGTGATGAAAAGGAGTACTTGAGTTCTGATTCTTCGTGCCAAGCAGAAGCAGATGTAGGTGGTGATGTCGATTGGATAACAGTTGAGTTTTTGAATGAAATCAAATGTTTGGGAATGTCAAACCACAAAATAGTCTTGAAAGAAGGGATACCGATTATGCTATTAAGGAACATTGACCAAACATCTGGATTGTGTAATGGGATAAGATTAATCGTTCAAGAGCTGCGAAATAATGTTATCGGTGCAATTGTGGTTTCAGAAAATCGAGTCGGGGAAAAATTTTACATCCCTAGAAGGAATTTGGTAGCATCTAATCCAGGGGTACCCTTGAAGTTCCAAAGAAGACCATTCCCGATCGCCTCATGTTTTGCTATGACTATCAACAAAAATCAAGGTCAAACATTGTCATTTGTGAGATTAGTTTTAACCAAGTTAGTGTTCACACACGGTCAAATATATTTTACTGTTTCACGAGTGACAACAAAGACAGGATTAAAAATATTAGTTCTAGATGACAATGGAAACCATTTCAACCATACCAAAAATGTTGTATACCCTGAAGTCTTTCAGAAAATTTGGTATTAAAATAAACATTGTTAATTCTATATTCTGTTCCTCAAATATTATTTATATTACTTTGGTTTTTTTTTCATTTGTAGTATTAAAAATAATGTGAGCAATATATTTTCTTTATTCCGAAAAATAAATTTAATTGAAATAATTCAGAATACTAGTTCTTTTTAAAAATGAGAGAATATGTGAAATTAGGTCATAAGTTTCTACTTGTAGGGAAGGAGGGCACTACTGTTAAATATGACATCCGTCTGGAAAAAATACATTATGTTTTGATATAAATATAATATCAATAGTTTTCTTTTGAAATATGGTTTTGAAAATTAAAATTATATTACAAAAAAATGTAAACTTATGATTTTAACGGTCAAAGTTAATATAAGAATCTGTAAAAGGTCCAACGAAAATGATACAATTTAGGATGAGTATGTATAACTGGATTGTGCAATAAGATACTTGGGTTGAACTACATTAAAAGATTGAATCCAATCGATTATTTAGTTTAACTCAAAAGCTTATATACCGATTATTTTACTTTTGAATTTTTGATATGGGATGACAGTCTAACAGAAAAAAATAAATTTGGACGGAGAGAGTAAAATACACCAAATATTTGGGTTATCTCCCAACCCTAGTTACGAGGACCTCCTAGATCCACGTCCAAGCCAAAGCTTCCTCAATTATTGTTCCAAAAAATGAAAAAAAAATCAAAACCTAATAACTATTCATTTCTACAACTATCTTATTTTCTTGCACATTTCCTAGGGGTGGCTTGACTTTGACTAGGAACAAAGAAAGTCAAAGTGTCTAAGCCGACAACTCAGCTTTTACTCACAACTTGCCCTACCACTAGTACTATCTTTTGCCAGCGGCCAACAGCTTACTAAACCCACACCCTTTTTCCCTCCCTCTCATTTCTTTTTTATTTATTTATTCATTAATATTAATTATTATTATAAATACTAATCAATTTGTTGAGCAATCTCTTATCCAATCTCAATCTTTCTTCTCACATATGTCTATGTGTTCATCTCATCTTCATTGAAATCCAAGAATAAAGTCTAATTTAGACCTTTTGAAATATATTTTTTGATACATTTTTGTTTTGGAAAAAAAAGTCCTTGAATTAGTTTGGGTTTTTTTTCTTCTTCTTAAGCTAGCTAGCAATGGAGTTTACTAGTTTGGTTGACACTTCATTGGATCTCAACATAAAGCCTCTCCGTTTCAACGTTGACGACAGACCGGTACGAAAATAATTACCTGTTCAACATAGGATTTTACTGGGTTTGTTGTTGCTATACGATGAGTTTGATATATTTGAGTTTTATTTGGTTCTTTTAGAAACAAGAAGTGGAGAGGAATTTCATTGGGTTGGGCACCATCAACATGGCAATCAACAATGAGGTTTGCACCCACATACTCTTATCACTCTCACTCACCTCCTATTCTACGGTTTGACTTTCACGAAATTTAGAAAAATCGTTAAAAAGTAAAAACTTTTCGTCGGGATATTCGAAAAAGAAAAGTAGAAAGTGTATTTCGGGACGAGGGGTGGGTTACGTGTAATTTTATGATACATCGAAAGTTGAATGATATGAACACGGACACGAATCGCGTCTACGTTCATTTATTTTTCAATGTGTGTATGTATGTATCAAGAAATGATTTTTTGTTTTTGGGTATGTTTAGAGAGTGGAAGAGGTGATGGAGGAGGTGAGGAGAGTGAGGGAGGAGAACAAGAGACTGACGGAAATGTTGACGATTATGTGCAAGAATTACAACTCCCTGAGAGAGCAATTGGAAGGGTATTTGGGTCATTTTCATCACCATCACCAGAACAGCAATGGCTCTGCAGGTGGGCCGCCCTCCTCCGCCGGAGTGAAGAAGAAGAAGAGGAAATCAGCTGGCGGGAGCCATAATAATAATATGTCTCAGAGCAGTTCAAACAAAGAAGAAGAAGAAGAAGAAGAAGAACATTCTGTGAACAAGAAAAAGCCCAGACAAGACGAAGAAGAAGAAGAAGAACAAAAACAGGTGCAGAAAGAACACATCAAATGTAAGACGACCAAAGTTTATGTCCGGACTGATTCATCCGACCACACCTCCCTCGTAAGTATCACGAATTACTCCGAATATATTTTTTTTTAAATTTGGGGTCGATTCAATCACAAGTTTAAGCTTTGGATCGAATTATTTAAAAAAATGAAGGAATGGGTAATGGTTAATTATTTTCTACTCCTCCGTTTTCAAATATTTGTCTATTTTTGATTTTTTTTGATCAAAATTGATAAACTTTGATGTCAAATTAAATAAAAATGATCTAGATATTGATACAAAAACAATTTTATGGAATTAATATGCGACATATATTTTATTTAATTATAAGTCAAAAGTTGAAAACAGTTAATCGAAAAATATCAAAACCAGACAAATACTCAGAAACGAAGTTAGTAAATAACTTCCATATTCTTTTACTCATTTTGACTTATTGCAGCTTGTGAAGGATGGATATCAATGGAGGAAATATGGGCAGAAAGTGACAAGGGATAATCCATCCCCAAGAGCCTATTTCAAATGCTCTTTTGCCCCTACTTGCCCTGTCAAGAAAAAGGTAAAATTTCTCTTTTGTAGTTCTTTGTTTTTTAAATTTGGGAGTTCTATTTGATTCTCTCTTTTAGATACCTTTATAATGTTTGATTAATATTATTTTTGAATTAACATATACTTTGTTGGTTTCAAAATAAATGTTACTAAATATGTTTTGATGTTCATTACGAAATACTCCCTCCGTCCAAAATTAAACTTTACATTACGCGTTACGATGTTTGACTAAAGTTATTTTCAAATCATTTTATATGAAAAATGGTGTAGAATTAAAAAATAAAAATTACTCCGTACATATTAAAAAACTATATCAAAAGATCTTCAAAACTAGAGGTGACATGACTATATTATTTTATCAAATGAGTGACGAAAATAGGCCAACAAAGTGAATAAAGTTTGACCGTGTGAATACTGAACGTAAAGTTTATTTATGGACGGAGGGAGTAGTAATGTTAAAGTTACAAACAAAGTAAATTTTATAGTAGAGACTTATTTATGTTTTTTAACAAATAATTTATAAAATTCACAAGTTTATCTTTTTTACATTTCATTTCACTAAAAACATGATACACTCAAATAATATAAAAATATTTAAATTTTAAATTCATAACGGACAAGTTTGTCAACTTTGTGAATTTTTTATTTATGAAAATGAAATCATGATGTTGATTTTGGAAGGAGGAGTAGATAACTTGTTTACATTTTTGGCAATTTCCCATAATATTAGAACTTAGTTGAATTTTACAATTTTGGAAATGTTAAGAATTTGTTTGAATTTTAAACATATTTCAGGTCCAAAGAAGCATTGAAGATCAGTCCATTTTGGTGGCCACCTACGAAGGGGAACACAACCACCCCTCAAAGCCGGACCAACCCGCCGCCGGCGCTTCCACGGCGGCCAACCGTTCCATCGCGACGCCCCGCGGTGGATCCGCCGCCTCCACAATCACCAGCCCCGGAAAACCAGCCACCCCCCTGGATCTGGCATCGCCAAATCCATTCCCGCCCGGCAGAGTCAACCCTCCGGCCGGAGACTCGCCGTTTACCGGCAGGCCGGAGTTCCAGCAGTTCTTGGTGGAGCAGATGGCGACCTCTCTCACGAAAGATCCGAGCTTCAAAGCCGCCATCGCAGCCGCCATTACCGGAAAATTCGTCGCACAGAAATGGTGAAAAAGTAAAAAAACTTTAAAAAAAATGAAGAAGTGTGGACTTTGGATTTTAACCGTGGAGTTAATTTTCTAGTCTTTTCAAGAGAGAAATTGATAGGGTTGAAAAGTTGAAAAGGAGGAGAATTTGTGTAAATACCAGCAGATTAGGTTGTATGGAGGGGGGGGGGGGGACCCACTAGTAGTTGAAATGAGACTTTTTGTGTGAATTCTTACCAACTTTTGTTGACCATTTTTGCTACTTGTTTGAAATTGATGCCCACCAAATTCAATGCAAATCATTCACCTTTTTTGCATGACTACATTATTGGATATTGGATGTGGATGTGAGCTAATAACTCAAGTCCACAAAAAATAAAGTGCATCATATCAGAGGCACATCAAATATACTCTATCTTTTCTCCTCAACTTAATTTACGAGATTTAACTAAAATTATTTTATATTTAATATATATATATATATATATATATATATATATATATATATATATATATATATATGGGCTGGTTCATGTGAGAATGGTGCTTGGTGAAAAAAATAAGAATAAAGGAGAGTCATTCGATCAGTTGCATCCAACGGAGATCATTAAACAGAGATGAAATCACTAATATTCCATTTAAAAGAAAAGAAATAATTATAACGCACCAATTTAGGAGAAAGTTAACTATGAAGGGCATTACGGTAATACTATGTATCTTAATTAATGCATATCCAAACTTGATACCGTATGGTGTATTTAGGAGAATTTTATTATATTAAAATATAATATTCATTTTATTTAATTATTGTACATAACCTTTCGCATACAAGTTCATTCTTGACAAATAATATGCCGTTGGAAATCTCTCGTCGAGATCTACCCAATGACACCAATGTTGAATATAAAATTTTTATATTTTTTCTTCTCACATTTCAAAGCTAAGCAAGAAAAGTACATTTATACATACTTTTTTCTTATATAATTTTTAGACTGTTTTTTTGGGATGTTACACACTCTCTTAATGCTACTCCTTTCGTCTAAAATGCATCTAATTTAGGAAATGATTTTAAATATCCACTTTTCCAGATTTATCTCGACAAGATGCACTCTGATGTGATGCTCATGCACTGTGATAACAGATATATGCAATGTGATTTGTTCTACAGGTTTTATTCAAATTTCATTCTACTAATATATGGATTAGCCAAGAATGACTCCTGCATGACTTTATATGCGATGAGAAAGTCAGAGAATGCATTATATTCCAAATAATTGTAATATAAGTTTTGAGAAATGGTTTGCCTATGCAGGATTCGAACCCACATCTGTAGTACATACTGCTCTACCATTTGAGCTAATAGGCAAGGATTTGTTTTTTCAGAGAGACTCCCATCACTTGGACCTATTATATACATATTTTAATATATTAAAATTTGCATCATTCAACGTGTTTCCAACTCCATTCAAATGTATCATAGAATATGTTAAATGCATCGTTGTTTGCATAAAATTTTCGATTTAGAATATACAAATGCATCATCTTTGGTTAGAATGATTTACTTTGATTCTAAAAATGCGCAATAACAGGGAATACATTATCCTTTTATTTTGAGAATGCATTTTCTTCGCTTCTAAATGCACTACCTTAATAGTGATAATGCACAATAACATAAACTTTTTCATTAAAATTTTGTAAAAGACAAAATGGCATACAAGAGAGTTTTCACAAATAGTTATAGTGCACCAGGAAACATGCAAAACAGAAGCAGTTGATTGCACAGAAAATGTAAAATTATAAATTGTTTACGCAAAACCATGTCGAAGCGAGCACAAAGATAAGAGGCCCTCAACCTTTCCGCCGTTATCAGTTGATCAAATCAATTGCTACCGTTTTGGGGATTTTCAGTGTAGTTATGTTGCTTCTAATACGGAAGCCATAGAAAAATTGAAGCACAATGAAGAAATTGAAAAAGGTGCTATTGAAAATTGGATGGAACTTTTTTTCTTTGAAATTGAAGCACCATGGAGAAATTGGAAGAGGGGCCATCATTTTTTGTTTTGGCTCAATTAATTGGCTCAGATTTGGTCACAGCACCATGGAGGAGGTCAGGCTCTGATATATACTGATATACCACATGATGTAAATTGAGAAACACGCATGAAAAACTAAAAAATTTATTCTTGTAAACTTCTACCCAACCAAAGTGATACTGTGTAAAAATAAAAAGTGTAGTCTTTGCATATTCAGATGCACTACTATATAAATAAAATGCAGTAACGTGCACAAAATATAAAATATAAAATGAAAAAAATTTGGACATCACCGATATTAAAAAGCTAGAAGAAGAATGCACAAAATGAAATCAAAATGCTAGAACCAAAAATAAAATATGAAATTGACCCAAAATAGAATGTTGGAAGTAGATTACAAGAAATAAATCTTTGGGACATTTTATCAAACATGTGGCATGCAAACATAAACTCTAATGATTCAACAATAATTTACACAAGAAATTGATTTAAATTATTTAAAAGAAAGAGAAAAAAGAAAATAAAACCCAATTGTATTGGATGGAAGCAAAATCCAGCCACTACCATACCTTTCAATGATTTGTTTTAGCATTAATCGTCAATCGGATGCCAAGCTCTACTTCCTTCGTAGTCCTTGCAACTGCATCTTGCAACGCCAATTCACGCCATGTTGAAAGAAAGAATTCAAATCAGAGAATTCATGAAATTGAGCCACCAAAAAATTAAAATCCTAAGATGGAAGAAATTAATTGTTAATTATGGCAAAGATTGAAGAAAATCAAAGAGAGAAGAAGAGTTACTGGTGATAGAGGTAGAAGGTAATTGGCTGATATTGTGAGAGGATTTTACGGAAAGAGAAAGGAGAGAGAATAAATTGAGATGCGATTGAGTTGTGTAAAGCCGAAAAAGCCCATGAGGACTTGGCGCAGTACGATCAGATCTAACGGTGAGAACTCATTCTTATTTCTTTCATAAGATCTCATTCTCACCGGAACCAAACTATATATATATATATATTAACTAATGAAAATTGATATAAAAAAGTAGTTAAAATTTAATCATATGAATAACGTTTGTGAAGAAAGTTTAGGATGAAGGAATAACAATATAAAAATGTTCAAGGGTTTGAGAATTTTTTCTGATTTAATTTTTATTTGACTTTTGTACAATATGAAATTTTGATCATAACCATTGATATTTATGAATATATATTACCTTCGTCCAACAATAAACTTTCCATTTTTAACAACGTATAAAATTCCATCTTCTTTTAAAATTATTTTATTTATAAATTCATATATTATAAAAAAGTACACCTTTCGTCTTTATTTTGATTACAAAATGGGAATTACAATGTAAATTCTCACAATTTTTGAAATTATTTTATTTACAAATTGATACATCAATAAGAAATAAAAATTACATGTTAAAAATTACGTCTAAACTTCTATAAAACAAAAAGTGAGATTTTATTTTTATTTTATCAAATAATCAACAAAAGCGCACAAATAAACAAAAATTTTTGAGATTAGAGAGAAATTAAAATTGTAATGAAAATGAGGACGGAGGAAGTATACGTTAGGAATGAATTCAAGAACACTCTTGTGAGGGGAAGGATATAATTGCCTTATTAGAGAAAGGCCAAAAGTGAGTCGGGCTAAGTAATGTGGAATAGTTGGACTCAACCCAAACATCTACTTGAGTAAGGGTGGATATCTAAGTACAAATCAGTACAATCCTTAAGAGAAATGGAGGTAATAATAGATTCCTGCAAAAACATGAAGGAGAGGAGGTTAAAAGCTAGTATCTTCAATGCTTGTTGTTATGCCATACATATGGAGAGCTAGACATCATATAATTCATGGGAAAGAAGTGGTTTCGATTAAGATGTGCATAGAATATCTGAGAGTAAATTTCATAATTGGTCCTTTATAATAGGAGGGTTTCCATATTTAGTCCTCTATTATCAAATATTACCACCGTAGTCCTTTTTTAAGGGTACCTTTCCACAAATGATCCTTTTTTTGATCTTCTGTCATGTTGGTGTTAATTTAAAGACTAAAAGTATAATTTGACGTCAACATTATGTCTAGTGACGTGTTCTGATATTGGTTAAGTGGATAACACAAAAATAATGACTATGATTGTGGGCTAGGATTCTGACGAAAGATCACATTTGTAGACTATAGTTGTCGTAAAAAGCGACTGTAATTCACAAACGACGCAAACAGAACAGCCTTTGGAATTGTGTATGACAAAAAAGATATATTATCATTGTGAAATTACACTTTTAGCCCTCAAATTAACACTAACATGATAGAAGATCAAAAAAAGGACTATTTGTGGAAAGGTACCCATAAAAGAAGGACCACTTAAGTAATATTTGATAATAGAGGACTAAATAGGGAAACCACCCTATTATAAAGGACCAATTAAAGAATTTACTCAATATATGATCTTAAATATCAAGTATTTATATTTGTGGTATCCAAATATAAGTAGTATAGTGAAGTATGGGTTGATGAGCGTAAGAGCCAAGGGTTGGACACTGCATTGTTATCTCTTGAATAAAATTTGCACTTTGTTCAAAAAAAAAAAAAGTTAAATTGTTCAACACTACATCAAAAGTTCAACATAATAAGACGTGACAAGAATATTTTATTTATCAAATGATTGATGAAGTTATGCAAACAAAGATGAATTATCCAGAACCCATAATAGTATTCGAGAAGTTTATTGTTAGATAGAGGCAAGTATATTTCATAAAATTTTAATATTTCAAAATTTTGTTTTAAAATGAAACTACTGATATTACAATTATATCGAAAGATCATATATATATATATATATATATATATATTTGCATATCAAAGTCAACCCAATAACAATCAACCGCCAAATTTTTGACAATGAATTGTCACTCAAGAGGGAGAGCCTGGGGGCAAAGCAGGACATGGATCGAGTTAGGACATGGATCGAGCTTGGGGAGATAAGAACTATTTTGGATTCAAATCCAACATCATAAGGGTCTCAAATGAATCCAATTTCATAATGTAACACTAAAATTCAACGTCAAAAAAAACCGCGACGTATAAAAAGAGAGTTAGAGAGAGACTATTCCTGTAGATGAATCAAAGGAATGTTAAATATCAAATCAGCAAAAGGGCCTTCAATTACCTCTAAAAATGAAGAGAAGAAAAAAAAAAAGATTGACCAAAATGCCACTAAAAAGCACAAAGAACAAGCACGAGAAAAGAAGAAGACAACACATAAAGTGTTCCCTGCAGCACCTTAGCTTAGTCCAAAGGCTTGGCGCGAGTCGAAGGATCTTCCTTGGATTCCACGTGGATCATGAACACGTAGCCGAGGACCCACATGAGAATATACGAGAGTGGGACCCACGACACGCAAGCCACGAGGCTTAAAATGCTGCCGACATACTGGGGGTCGCGTACCACTCCAAACGGAAACCGCGTCACCCATGGGATGCTCTTCCCGAACCTCACGCCGTAGTATGTTCCGGACTCTCCTAACAATGCGTATACCCTGCAAAAGCAAATATCATCATTTTATTCAAAAGAGACACCAACAAATGAGTCCTATAAAATGTGCATGAAAACCACCACCAACAACAAGAACAAGAACAAGAACAACAACAAAAAACTTGCTAAGATCTCACAAAAAAATAGTGTAGGGTATGAGGAGGGTGTGCGTATACGAAGATGCTACCACTACTTGGAAGTAGAGAGAGAGAGAGAGAGAAAACCAACGAAGTAAATACAATAACACAAATAGTTGCAAGGAACAAGCATGTCGACACTAGCAACTAGATCCCAAGCACAAATGTACGAGCAACCACCTAAGGCAAAAACATCCCAATAGAAACAACAAACTAGGGTCCAGAGGCCTATCCAAGTACTCTAATCCTAGATCTCCACGTGTTCCTTTTTAATGCCATATTCCCGGTAAGATCTTGAAGTCGTAAGTCTCATCTTATAACCTCTTTCCAACTCTTTCACTTTTTTTAAAACAAAATCACTTTTTTATTGGATTGATAAGTTGATCATGTAAGAATACAGGAGGGGTATGGTCATAAAAAAAACTTGCATTCAATTCCAACAAAGATGCTAACTTTGTAACTTTACACTAAAGAAGGCTCAAACCATTCATGGAAAAATCATAGAGAACTAATTTTTTTTTTTTTTGGTATTGAAAGGCGCCCTTTCAAGAAACCAAACATACTCAGTAAATTCCAGTAGAGCCTTGCCTCAACACGTGAAGTAGAGAGATTATTTCCGAGAGACCCAACATGCCCTTTCTCAAGAACATTGCATAAATTCATAATATAGAAGTCCGCGATACAATAATGGAGCTAAAAATGACATATTCACTTCCTTCGCCTCTTACTTTCGAATGAAATTTCAGGAAGTAAATGTAGCATTGCATCTAGAGTCTAATACTCTAATGAAAACACTATCTCTGTTTTTCAAGGGTAAGACTATGTACATCTTGACCCAAGACTCAACGGAGTTGGGAGAACACTCGGTTGTTGTCATTGTGTGTGATATACAAAATAATGATCATGTCAAAATCGTGTGTTTAATTAGGCTGTTTCCAAGAGGACCCAGTAAATCTCATTAGAGACTATGCAGATCTTAGCTCCAGGCAAAGAGCAGAACTGTTGTTTCCGAGAGGAATGAGACGCCCCCTCTCAAGAACAACATTGCACTAGTTCATCATACCATATGACAGATAAGGGGATGAGGATTCCGCCAAATATGCAGAATTTGGATCTTTAACTGATGAATGCTCAAACTATTGATGAAAAATTCATTAATCTATATAAAAACATAATCTTTTTTGGATTAGCAACAAAGACACAGTCCTTGATGCTTGAACTTATTTATGCTCGAATCATAAACAGAAATTCAATTATTAATTTAAAAGCAATTTTTTTTGGATTGACAATTTGACAGATGCCCTTTCAAGAACAACACTGCATTAATCCACACAATCGTCCGAATGTACTTATCATATTTTTTTCAAACACAAAAATACCCAATGGAACACTGCAATTAATGTGCATTTAACATTAAAAAAAGAAACCCAGAAATGGGGCTAGGGTTTTTTTCTGGATTGGGTAAAAAGGGAGTGACCTGAAGTTGAGGAACTGACCGAAGGAGAAGAGGGGCCAGAAGTAGAGAGGCGGCGGCCAGGAGAGAGTGGAGACGGAGAAGAGGGAGAGGAATTGGAGGAGCTTGAGCACGTGAGAAACCATGGCCATCACGTGAGATGGGTCCCGCCCTCTCCCGCAGAGATCCACCCATGTTTGGGGATGATTCCATAGCCAGTAGTAGAATGGGAACGGCGAAATCACTCCCATCCATCCCATTAACCCCATCGATTCTTCTTTTCTTTCTTCTTCTTCTTCTTCTTATTCTTCTTCTTCAGTTCTTTGTTCTTCAGTCACCAACAAGATCAGAAATGGGAGTATGGGACAAGCTAGCCTGGGTTTGGGCTATTTTTTTTTGAAACAGCCTGGGTTTGGGCTATTGAGTTATAATATGTGGGCTATAATGAAAATCAAAGAAAAAAGCCCATTAGTTGTGATTATTGACTACCCAACATTAGATGTAAACCACAAAAACCATTCCAATTTATAAAATAAAGAAAATTGAGCCACAAAAGTGAAAAAATACTCCCTATTCCACTATTATTCACTCCATCCCATATATTTCTCATTATACGTTACGAAATTTTATTAATTTTATTTTCAATTTAAGTTATTTAATTATACGTAAATTTCAAAAATAAAATTTATATACGAATAGTAAAGAACTAAATGAACAAATCTACAAAAATATGAGATGAAAATATTATATTATTTAATGAAATGAATAGTAAATATAAACAAACAAAGTAAATTAAATTTAAACATGTGAATAATGTATTGCCAGGCTTCATTTATTTTTAACTTATTTTCATTATTCATTCGATAAAATAATATAATCATGTCACTTCTTATTTTGTACAACTTTCTATTTAGATTTTAAATATGTATTTTTTTAAATTCCGCGATCTCAAATAAATTGAATTTAAAATAACTTTAATCAACATCATAAATTGAAATATACAATTTAATTTAAGAAAGAGAGAGCAATATGTTCTTTTTAAATAATGACTACTCGCTCCATTATGCAAAACGAAGTAAAATTTTAATATCTTTAGTTTATTTTTTTTAAAATTGATTTAGAAATTTAAAAAATAAGTTTAGATATGTAAAAATTATGTCAAATGTTCTAAATAAGAGGTGACAAAATTGAAATATTACTTCATTAAATAATCAATAAAAACGTTTAAATAAATAAAAAATTTCATAATTTTTGAATTGTGGCAATGCAACATTGTTTTTGGGAAGAAAAAAGTATGAGTTTATTACTAATTCTTATTCGAATTATATTAGAAAAAATTAGAAATAATTTCAAATACCCCATCTGTCCTAAAACGTTTTTCCCGTTTCTATTTACGAGGTTTGACCGACTTTATTTTCAATTCAATTTATTTGATTATAGGTGTAAAATTAAAAAATAAAATTTATATATTTAAAAAGTACATCAAAAATTCAATAAATAAGAAGTAACAAGACTATTATTTTATCAAATAGCTAATATAAATAAATCAAAAATGATTAAAATTTGACTATGTAAACAATAATTGAAAATAACATTTTAGGACGAAAGGAGTACATATTTACAATCAAAGTAGATCAAATTAGACATCAAACAAATGAGATCACACATTCAGAACAAACACTATTTTTTTACAAGACTTTGCTCTTATCTTAAAAAAGAAACTATTTTTCATTTTTTACACCTTTATTAAATTGCGTAAAAATCAAATTGAATATAAAGTATGTTTTATTTTTCATTTTCATTTTTTTAAGACGGGAGTCGCATAATCGCAAAGAAATCCATAAACCAGAGAAATGGCATCTTCATTCACTCCTCACCCTCTCCTATCCTTCTCTCACCCCCCATCAACACCTTCTCCCAAGGCAACAATCGCCCCGCCGCCGCCCGGCTCACCACCGGAGCACCAACAGCCAATCGTACAAATGGGGATCGGCGTTAGTAACAAAAGGGGCGGCCGTCGCGGCGGCGTTTCAGCTAGAATTAACGGCGTGGATAGCACAGATTGGGTCGCATCTTCATTGACCCGGAGGTTTGGGATCGGGGCGGGCCTGGCTTGGGCCGGGTTCCTTGCTCTTGGGGTCATTTCTGAGCAAGTCAAGACTCGCCTTGAAGTTTCAAACCAGCAAGCTAACACAAGGTTTGGCATTAATAAAATTTGTCAATATGTATTTATAGATCGGGCCCGTTCCCGTGACATTGAGCTCAATGTCATATTATGGCCCGAGCTTCTTACGGGGCTCAGTTGGTAAAATTTATGGTTCCTAACCCCCTCCTTAAATATGACATAATTCCAAATTTCTTTGTTTTACAGGGATGTAGAAGAGGAAGAAGAAGTTGTTTTACCAAATGGAATAAGGTGACTATTTTTTTAATCGCTACACACATTCGAATGGTTGAGTGAAACATTTGAATGTTACCCAAAAAATTGTGTTGTTTGATCAACCATTATGTCCATTCGGAAATTTGCCTATGAGGCACAGGGTATGTTTCAAGAGGAGAGAGCTTCTGTACTCGTTTTAGATTACTTACGTCTGATTCGATTGAAGTATTTTGGTATTACTTCGAAATAATTTTAATCTGTAAGCGTTTTATACGCGACTTACTAATTCCATCAAGTCGTCCTTCACGTTCTTCGTATACCGAATCTCATTTGATTGTATGTATAGGTACTATGAACTACGAGTAGGTGGAGGCGTCGTGCCACGAAGAGGAGACTTAGTGGTAGTTGATCTCAAGGGGAGCATCAAAGGTGCCATTGGGGAAGAGTTTGTGGACACATTTGGCGAGAAGAAGAAACCATTGGCTCTTGTAATGGGATCAAGGCCATACACAAGAGGAATGTGTGAAGGGATAGAATGTGTGTTGAAGACAATGAAGGGAGGGGGGAAAAGAAGAGTCTTTGTCCCTCCCAAACTTGGCTTTGGAGAAAAAGGGGCAAATTTTGGCAATGGAGTTGAAGTTCCACCATTGGCAACACTTGAATATATTGTTGAGGTTGAGAGGGTTTCGCTTGCACCCGCTTGAATTTAAATACTTTCTCGGTCTTAATTTACGTTGTTTTGTACAATATTTGTAATATCAAAATTTATCTACTAGTTTGCCTATTTATGTTACTTGTTTGTTAAAATAATGATCATTACACCTCTTTATTTCTTAGAGTTTTCGACGTAAGTTTTAGATATATAAATCTATTTTTTTTATAATTCAAAACATAACCGACTTTACAATATGTAGCTGGCACAGTGGCACACCATACTATTGTTCCGTTCCCTTCCCTTTAATGATCTCTCGAATGTAAATTTTACTTTCTTACACTTAATAGAAAGTAGAGAGACTATTTTCAAGAAACTTCTGGCTCGCAGGTAACCTACTGACTTAATGGTTTGGGTAGCCCATTTAGGGCTAAGCATGGGCCCATTTTTTCGTCCTATTCATTTTTTAAGACAAATGGGTGTGTGTTATGTATCCAACATCTAACGACTAGGCCTCATTTTGAATATAAATGCGTGGTAAATATCTTCTTTTTAGGATAGTTAAGCCCAATTTAGAAGAGAAGTAGAGAACCATTTATATGAAGTTTTCTACAAATCCAACATCTTAAAATGAAAAAAAAACTCCATAACATATGTTTCTTCTATTCAGACATATATACGCCTCATTATTGTTATTATATCAAACATTTAATATACTAATGAATTACTTTATTCAAAAGATAATTTTTTTAATTATTTAGAAGTTGTTGTCCATGTGGACCGGGTCAGCCCGAAGCCTGCGGTACCCACGCAGGTCGGGTTTGGATTTCATATGTTAGGCACGCTATACGGGCTGAGCCGGACTCACACCTAACATATTCTTGTAATATAACATCTTGGTCCGACCCTAAACCCGAAACGATCTAACCCGCACTTTGATCAGGTCTAGATGCATTGTTTGATCTCGCATGCAGTTGAAGCCAGCGACCCATAATCCTTGATCATCCCGTAATACTTCATCACATCCTGTCACTAGATTCTCTTCGAAAAGGTTGCATAGTATGCAGTAGCTACCCCTCATAACTTAAATTTACTCTTCTAATTTTAAAACTCTATTTTACCCTTTTAATTTTAATGATTAACTATCAAATCATCACTTTTTATCTACACCACAAAGTATTACTCCTTATTTTATTCAACACTGTTCATATAAGAGTAAATGTGCGAAGTTAATTTTTTGAATTAAGCTAGGGGTACCCCATGTTGGTGTACCCCTAGCATTGCCCTAATTTTTTTTCTCTGATTTAATATGTGTGATAGCTCAAATCGGAAAGTGAATTGTTAGAATGGAGTTTCATTAGAGAATTCCCAATGACAAGTCAAGAATAGAATGTCACACAGTGGCATGGAAGATTTCAACCAATAAAAAATAGTCTAATCAGCGTGTGACAAGGGAGTAAAAAAAACATACATAAAAGCCAACAAGATTAAATTAACTAGTGTAGTCATAATCATCTTCCAAATAGAACTCTACATATTTGATGCTTTTGCAAAACTTGAAAATAAGGATGACTCATCTTCAACAAGATCATATGGATGGCCTTGTTCAACCTGAAAAAAGAAAAGGTAGAGTAAACCATTGAACTTATTCAATGCAAGTATTTGAATAAAAGTGTTGCGAAACCAACTCAGCCACAAACTTAAACTTGTAGTTAATAGTCCAAAAATGTTTTGTATACTATAACACATTCCCTCACGTGCATACAAAATTTGCTTTTTATTCGTGCCCATATATAGTATTTTTTAAAATCTGGGTGGCAGTGAGATTCGAACTCATGATTTTCAGGCCTGCAAGGCTCTGATCCAATTTCAAGGAACCAACTCCCCCACAAAATCAAGTTTGTGGTTGAAAAGCCAAGAAATGTTTATGCTCTAACGAAAGAGTACAACGAAAAAACATACGCGAATATAAATGTATAGATTCATAAAATATTGAGTTAAACTAAAAAATCGATTAAATTTGCATCATGTCCATGTTGCATTATAGCTCAAATGAATGACATATACCCAATTATGAATTCTACCGAGATATATGTTAATAACATAAGAATTCAAGCTCACCAAGATCCCTTGGTCAAAGATCAAGATATTGTCCATGTCCAGAACGGTTGAAATCCGATGAGCAATTGCAATCACGGTTGTCCCTTGGCACTCATCCTTGATGACCTTGTGAAGTTTTGAAGCCGTTGGAGTGTCTACACTTGCTGTGCACTCATCTAGACACAATATCTATCAAATGATTATATCAAGTTATTAGTGTCAAAGTTTTTCTAAATTTGGTTTTGGCTATGCTACCCAATCAAGTTATTAGATTCATTATAGTTTCAAAACATGATGAACTAAATCAAAACGACAAATTAAACATCCCTTGCTTCTTACTTTCTATGAAGTTTTGGGCCGCAAATGCAACAATGTTGGGATGGAGTGAGTATATATTTTATTGTTGGGACTCTAGTGGATTCTTGTTGTTGTATTTATGTAAAAAGAATGGCCAGAGTATTGCAATGGAGACCACGAAAAGTCAAATGAGAAGAAAATTTCGTGATGGGGGGAGTATTTATTGTGTTCATTGCATTTTTGTAATAACAAATGATGCTCCAAAAGTGTACTGTAGAATGAACCATCACTTTGCTTTCAATTGAAGTCACAATTTTTTTTCTTTCCTCTTCTAGATGGGTTACCTTGGAGGATTTAAGAAGAGCGCGGACGAGGCAGAGTAGCTGTCTTTGCCCAACAGAAAATGGAGCTCCAAAACCTTTAACATCCATGTCCAGCCCTCCGGCAGCTTCCACTTCTTCCTTCAAATGGCATTTCTCCAGAACCTTCCATATCTCTATATCGTCGTACACACACAACGGATCCAGGTTGGTCCTGAGAAACATTTGAAATCGGGAAAATGCGCATTCATTATTACATGTTTGGATCTCCAAAATAAACCGAGTTTGAACCTCTCTTATATTCAAATTTCCCTCTATGGTTTCTTTTCCCTAGTATTTTCCGGGTTCCAAAGAGACCCAAGCTGAGAGTGCTGGGAGGCAAATTCAGATATCATGGGAAAGCAAAAAGGAAAAGAAAGCAAAAGGGGAAAATGGCATCAAGAAAATCAATGGTAAATTGGTAATTGTAATATAAATCATAATAATGGTAATAGAGAAAAGAGTTGTGTTATGGAAATTCCACATATGAGTTTGTCCCATATCAGAAAATGAAGAGAAGATGCCATTGGATATAAGAGCTAACCAAACTCCATCAGTATGAGGCCTTTTGGGAGGTGCCCTTTCCCCAAACAATAATTTGTGAGAGCTTGGCTTAAAACTGACAATATCATACTAATATAGAGTTAGTGTGATGGCGCGTATTTATACCTGAGTGACCCTTCAAACAAGAAAGGAGCCTGTGGGACAACAGAAAATCTTTCGCGGAGATCCCTTAGAGAAACATCAGAGGTATCTATGCCATCAACCACGATACGCCCTCCACATATTGGATAGAGGCGGAATAAGGCATTCAAAATGCTTGATTTTCCTGCTCCAGTTCTTCCAATTATTCCTACCTATTCGTCAAGATATGTGTGTCTATCAATTGATCTTGTGTTTCACAAGAAAATCACTCGTAAATGTAATGTAAATTTCATATGGTCAACCTGACATGATTAAACGTGTTGATGATGAAGATAATGCATTGATAAGATTCCCCAACTGACCTGTGTTCCTCCTGCAATGGCAAAGGTTACACCACGCAAAGCCGGAGGTAGTGCTGGCATGTACTTAAGAGTCACATTCTGAAAATTTATCTCCCCTTGAGATGGCCAGCTTTGGTTAACTCTCCGACCTTCAATGAGTTCTTCTTGAGGTATATCCATGTACTAGAACCAAACAACAACCAAACCTTAATCCAAAAGAAAACAATATGGGCGGCTATGCATTTCTTTTCTTTTTTTTTTGGAACAAAAGATGGTGCAGGTAACTGTCGAGGATAGAGTTTGTTCTCTTCAGCTTATTCTTATTGGAATCAGGTCAGATTAGACGAAGAGAACAAGCTCATAGTCTCCCATTGAACACGCGGTCTTAAAAAAAGACTTAACATATAAGAATATGAGTTATTCTTCTCATTGCAAATTGGTTTTAGGTTGGAATCTCATAATTATACATGGTATCGAAGCCAAGGCTTAGGAGCTCGGAAAAAAAACCTCAAGTCTAGTTGAGAATGTGAAAACTTGAGGCAAAAAAGACCCAAGTTGCATTTTAGGGGATGTTGAGGATATAGTCCCACATCAAACCCTTAATCTAAAAAAGACTACTATATAGAGATATGAGTTACTTTTCTCATTGTCAATTGGTTTTGACTTGGAATCTCATATTTCTAAAGTATCAATTTAGTCTTCGTCTTGTAAGTGGCTTTTGACTTGTTTTGTTTAGAACTTTAGATGAATTTTACCTAACAGTTTCCAATTTATCAAACGAGTCCTCAAGTGTTTTTTGATACCTGAAGAACTCTTTCCATAGAAACCATCTCCTTTTCAGTTTCTGTGAAACTCGACAAGAAGCTCCCCAAACTGGATACAATTGGGGCAGCATATGAAAGCGCTAAGCCTACCTGTTAATCGAGCAAACATCATTAGGGTGGAAATAGTTTGTATTATTCATTGATCAACAACATTGAGTGAGTAATTATAAACAGAGTACATATGTGTTTATATAATAACATGATACACTTAAGGGCTTGCTTGGTTAGGTGATTTTGGAGGACAGGATTAATAGCAAGTTATATGGACGGGATCTAAGCGGAATTAGGTGGGGCAGAATTGAAGTGATGTGAAGAAAAGCAAAAGCAAAGGCTTAACTCACCAGCCCTGGAGTACCTATGTTAATGTGAAGATATCCATGAGAACCAATGACAGCCATCACCGCAATGAATGAAATTATAAACGCTGCCAACCACTAAGAGTAATTAAAATTGTTAATGATATTCACGTTTTGGAGAAATACGGAGTATTTGAGAAGATGACACATGAAAATGAAACAAACCCAGTAAAATCCTACAAAGGTAGGGTCTAGGGAGGCCTACGCAGCCCTTACCCCTACTATGAACTATGAAGTAGAAAGGCTGTTTTCAAGAGAAACCAGGCTTCTACGATCAAAGAAAGAACAAAGAAACCACTTAAGCACGACCGAAATATGAACCTAGACAAAAGAAGCATACACGCCAACTCTAAGAACTAGACATAAAGCACAAAAAACACACGCTACATACTAAGCCATAAAAGCACACCACCATAAACTAGAAACTAAGGCACACACATCTACCAAACTACTCTAATAGGCTAATCCTAAATTTCCATGTGTTCCTTCCTAAGACCATATCTTGGGTGATATCGTGAATTCGTAGGTCCTGCCTAACTACCTGCTTCCAACTCTTTCTAGGTCTACATCTACCCATCTCTATGCCCTCTACCGCAAGCCTCTTGCATCACCTTACGGAGGCCTCTGCACTCCTAACGTGCCCAAATCACCTAAACCTAGTTTCTCGCAGTCTATCCTCCATTGACACATGAAAATGGAAAAATAATTATGATGATGATGATTAAGAGATGTACCTGAAGGCGAAGAGAGAGCCACAAACTTGCAGTTGCCTCTGAGTAAGAAGTTCTCTGATAAACCATCATATTCTGAAAGAATCTGGTCAAAAATAGGTCCTGAATGACAAACAAAAGCTCACGCATTTACCCAATAGTTCCATACCCCATCAAAGGTTTATATTGAAAGATACATATGAAGCAAAGACACGAGTTGGCATTACTGACCCTGAGCATGGTCAAGGAGGGAGATGACCTTGGCGCTTGGCCATAGGGCCCCACTTTTTAGGAGACCCCAACATCTTGGGAACACTTTATTTTACACACACAAGCACACACCCTTTACACTGGATGAGTTGTTCAGTTGAGAAATTCTTATCTTTTAAATTATAACTAATAAAATTAACGCAAATCTCAATTCTATAGGGACCCTTTTAATTCTTTTCACCATGGACCCCAAATATGCCAGGGTCTGCCTTGTCCAACGGGCCAAGGCCAAGTTTTATATGAGATACGGCAGGACACTTTGGAGGACACAACACATGGTATTTTCTTAGAATTTTAATAACTCTTACGGGCCCGTTTGGTGAGCAAAGGAGGGTTGAAAAATACTTGTATGAGAAAAAAGTGTTTGAAGCAATCTGCAATCTAATATGGTTGTTAGTGAGCGTGGAAGTGACTGTTGACTACAGGTGGTTGGCAGCTGAAGAAAATATCAAAACCCCGAATTTGATATCTCCCAAAATCGGGAGATATCAAAACACCCCCATTGGGAGGCTTGCGATATCGGGAGATATGATCAAATCTGAAACCTGTTTAGGCTTCACCAACCACCCACAAAAAGGTTATGATATCCGGCCCAACATTAGACCCATATCTCCTGCATTCCCCAAACTGGCCCTAGATTATTAGAGTTAAGTGCTAGAACTGGCTTTTTTTATTAGTAAATGAACGAACCGACACACCACAGTGAAATGAACACCCGGCTTACCTTAGACATAAACGCCCTAATAGTTGATGATCCATCCATACTTTCTGTAAAAGATGCATAAATTGGCGACCTGGACACGCTATCAAGCCTTCGCAATTCACGTGATGTGGACCTATAGTAGAACTAGAGAAACAAATAATCAAATGCTCAATCAGTTGAGGCTAAAGGACCCAATGAAGAATTCATAGGGGTGTTTTGCAATGATTTTATTAAGGAGCTTTTCATGATTAAAAAAGAGTTTTTGGGTCTAAAGGACAAGTGGACAACTATTAGAAGTGTTTGGTAGAGAGTTTTTTGGTCCAAAAAGATACGTTTACAAAAACTTGTTCTTCAAGCTTTTTGGAGCAGCTATTTTTCAAGCTGGGTTAACAAAAGATTTTTTTTCAAGCTGTTTGGAATAGCTACTTGAACAAGTGACATAACAATTGGTTGCTAAATAGGGCTACAATTCTGTTGAATTCATCGAGCTCAGCCATAATGCAAGTGGGATAAACCACATTAAAAATGATTGAATTCAATTTGTTAGACAATTTGACTCAAGGACCTTATAAACCCATTTATCTCTACGTAAGGCTCTTAAAAGACAGCTAAACACAGACGGGACTACTAAAAATAACCTGCAATCTGCTGTAAATGAACCAAAACGGCAGCAGCAGAAACAGAAAAAGGACCTGCAGTTTATATTCATAGCATTTTGAGGATACCATCTCAGCAAAGAAAACTACTAAATGTGACAAAGAAAATGAAAAGATGGGTTTGCACCTGAACATATGATAAAACTACAACAACTCCGAGAAGGCCAATGAAATTGGCAAGAAGTATGTTGAGAATGAATGGAAGGGAATCGTCAATTGTGTATAAATCTGAAGACAGCCTATATATAACTTTGTCAGCAAAAAAAATTTTTAGGGTCAATTTGGATGGAGGATTTTGGAGAAGAATAGAGAGAGAGAGGTTAGTCTATATCTTGGAAAATAAGATGTCTGAAACAAATAAAATGTGATCGAAATGTTACGATCACCTATTATGGTTTTCCTTTTCGAAAAAGAAATTACCAGACACATAACAAGAAATAGATTTAGTTTTACAAAACCTATTTTCACTCCAAAATCCGGCATCCAAACTAGCCAACTGGCCCTTAAGGTATGTTTGGATCGGGCAATACTTCGGAAAGATAACATATGAGAATCATTTTTTTAGAGCTTTGTCGAAACTCATTTTATTTATTTGTCTATGTTATATAAGGACTAATACATCAAAATGCATGTATATTCAAATAAAGAATAATCAGATTCATTTTCCGTTACATTTTCCACGATGAAGTTAAACAAAAGAAAGTAACTAAGCACTTTTTCCCTTTCACTTGTATTTTCTATGATCCAAACACACCCTTTAAAAGGCTAGACATTGCATCATTGCGTGCTTTGGGAAATTCTCATGGTACCTGTTTAATATTCTTCCACTCGGCGTCTGATCAAAGAAACTAATTGGTGCAATAGTAAGGTTCTTCAACAATTGATCATGAACCTTAACAGCAGCACGTAGACCCCCGTATGCAAATGAAAATGACCTTACTAAAGTTAGGAAAGAATTTGCCAAACAGATAGCACTGAGAATAACCTGCATTGTTTAAATCCCAATCAGTTGACTTCCAATCATCTGTGTCAAGAAACCTACTCAACCAAAAGCTCAAGCTTGTGGTTGTAAACCCAAGCTAGGTTTTATACTCTAAAACGCCCGGCACAGTACAAACGAGATTTACTTTTGCTCGAGGTTGCACGTGAAAATTAGTTTTTTAAAACTAGGTGGCAGTGAGATTTGAACTCGTGACATCTTACTCATCAAGGCTTTGATACCATATTAAGAAACCAACCCAACCAAAAGCTCAAGCTTGTGGTTGTAGGCCCAAGATAGGTTTTATACTCTAACAAATTATCCTAATTCGGGAGGGCAGACCCTAATTTTCTCAATGAATATTCTTAAGGGGGATACACCATTACTTTTGTCAACATCAGTCATCAGTGTCTAAAATAGGGAAATTATAATTTACACATTGTCATGCCGCAACAACAACAAACACAGTAAAATCCCATGAAAGTAGGGTATGGGGAGGGTGTGTGTACGACAATGTAAATGGACATGCACAATTAACAGGCGAAGGCAAAAAGCACATCATCATAAACTATCATAAACTGCAAATGGTCCTATCTAAGGCCAATTTTACACATTGTAATGCACGGTAAGAAAATCACCAAGTAACATGCAGTTGAATATGATTTCTGGTTGCTTCCCGTTGAGTCAACCCAATATGATAGCCAAACATCATTTCCATTTCGGGAAGCTTGCATCATAATAGCAGACACACCAATGACGACTGTGATGATCCAACCAGAAAATGCAGCATACTTTCTGGAGGTCATAAAACCAAAGAAACATATCAAACATTCACTTAGATCATAATTACTATGGAGCATAACATACACATGCTTAATACCTAACAATATATTACCTCCATCCCACAACGGTAATTCACTTCAGTATCCCATTTTGTTCATACTAGAAAGATAATCCAGTTTATTTATTGTTTTGCATTTGATTTTCTATTTCCAGATTAAAGCTCGTTTGGTGAACCCTTAGTTTGGCTTATCAGTTATCAGTTTCACATTTTCACCAAACATTCATGTATTTATCTCATTTCACTACGCTAGTTGAATCAACTGATAATGAAAAATTGCAGTGCACGAGTTACTACTACTTTTTTGGCTGAAATAAATGAAAATAACATATGAACCTTTGTTTTCAGATTTAAATAATTTTTTTGGATAATTCAACACATTCGGTCATTCCAGCCACAAGTTCACCAAATTCAGCAGATTAAGCCTCACGAAACGGGGCTCTTATATCTTAATCACTAACATCAAATTTAAATGCTGCCCCTAGCTAGAAAATTTCAAATTTCAAAAGATGAAAACGGGAATTGCATAAAAGATTAATAATTCCCGCTAACTTAACAATCATTTCTTAATTCATGTGTAAAAAGATAGGACTATCTTTGTGAGCCGGAAGGAGTATAATTTAACTCACTTGTAGACCATGACTTCAACTCTTCCTTCTTCCCTTCTTTCTAATTCAACAATTTCTTGAGCTCCACCACCACCACACATAATATCACTGTCTGAATCTACTAGACAGAGAGGATCTGTTGAAATAGTTGGTTTTCTTCTTTCCGTGTGAGCTATGGAAGATGCATTTAGTTCATCGATGGATGAGAATGCAAAACTAGTGGGACATGATAAACTTGTTGGATTTCCTACAAATTTAACATGCCCTTTATCCATCACAACCACAATGTCAGCCGCTGTTATTGCCTGCATGCATAATGAAGAGCATGCAATAATAACCAATACACAATTTATAAAAATGTGTTATAGTGCAGAAAAAATTTCCAATATGGAGCAGTAAACTGAACTCAAGGTTTCAAAGTTATAGTTGGGTTCGTCAATCAATTAGAAGAGTATGGGACTAAAGAATGAAAAGAAAAACATTAAAACCTGAAGGTTATGTGTGCAGAGGATGCATGTCCTTTGTTTCATCAGAGGCCCAAGGATTGCAGTGTGTAAAATAGAGAAAGCAACATGAGCATCAACAGCACTGAGGATATCATCAAGGATGTATATATATGCCCCATGATATATAGCCCTGATTATCATTTTTAATCGGATCAGCACATATAATTCTAACTAAAGTTGGCAATGGATGGGTATGAGAACAGTTATCCCAATAATCAGAATAGCCATACACACCCAGTTAGATACTTTTTTTCCCTAAAAAACCACACCTTTATCGAATGGGTAATAGACATAACCACAGATAACCATAAACCATCCCTAGTACTTCCGTTGCAAACATAATAGTCTTCCAATTGAATGTTGAGAGACAGTGTACCTCGCAAGCGCAAGACGAGCTCTCTGTCCTCCTGATAAATTGACTCCTTTCTCTCCAACATGAGCCATGTCACCTCCCGCCATTCTCAAAATATCGAAGTCCATAGAACACGCATGTAATACTTCTGAGTATCTGCTTATAAGAAACCACAAAGCTTGTATAAGAATAGTTTATAAGGTTCCCAGACACAAGTGTAAGTCATAAGTAGCGCCTAACTCGCCCAAAAGGATTCTCAAGAAGTAAACTTTATGTCCCACACACTTATATACTTAGACTCAGAATCTATTACAGAACAAATGTGTGATACTCAGCCAAATCCGGACTGGTGAACAAACAGATAAATAGACCCAAAACGACCCATAACTGCCTAGACAGTAGACACAAACATATCTTGGCAAACATCAAAAATTGGTTGAGAATATGTGAAAAGGAAAGACATTTTACCTCATTGCATCGTAGCTCCTCCCAAACAAAATATTGTCACGGATAGTACCAGAGAGAATCCAAGGGACCTGGAATCACAGAATAAGTAAGTGAGAGAAAAGCAAGGTGCAGAGTGACTAGAAAAGACATTGGGACTAAAAAGAAGTAAATCAACCTGTGGTACATAAGCTATAGAGCCATTTACATGTATAGCGCCATTTATCAATTTCATCTCCCCTAAAATCATATTTAGTAGGGATGACTTCCCTGACCCAACCTGCAGACACACGATTTTTAAGACATTGATATGAATAAATGAGAAAAAAAGACCTTATCATTAACAATAATATTGAAAATATCATTTATTTAATGAAACAATATACATTGATCATGTTAGAATATAAATAACTGTTCCTGGGCCACAACCACAAGCTTGAGCTTGTGGTTGAGTCGGTTCCTTGACATGGTATCAGAGCCTCGTTGACTAAGAGGTCACGGGTTCAAAACTTAGCGCCACCCAATTTAAAAAAAATTAAGGTTTCACGTGCAAGGCTCGAAAAAGACTACGCCTGCACGTGAGGGGGCGTGTTAGAATATAAATAACTGTTCCTGGGCCACAACCACAAGCTAGAGCTTGTGGTTGAGTCGGTTCCTTGACAGATCACAACAAAAATACACTTAAGTATGTTTTTTCATAGAGGTTGAAAAATGTTTTTTGTCCCAACAAAGATAGCATTTTTATATGTCGTTATGCCCTTGTATAATTATAATGTTTGCTGTTTATTTCATTCAGAAACAGCATCTTTTCTACCTTGTCTAGGTAGGGGTACAGTCTGCGTAGACCCATCCACCCCCAAGACCCATGTAAATTTGATGGGTAGGTTTTGTTGTAACAATCCCTGTAAATTACATTGCTTTCTACCATTTGGAGTTTGGAAATCCTACCAATTTGATGAGGAAAAGAAGAGAATCCTCTTTGTTTTCCTTTCTTTCCAAAATCCACCAACCAAACATAGCGTTAGGGACCAAAAAGAAAACATAAATTACAATGATAAAGTGTAAAAAATAATCTAACTTGGCCCAAAAAAATACAATTTGCAGGGACAGTAATTTGAGCCAAAAGTTTCTCCCTCCGTCTCAAAGTATACTTCATAGTTTGACTAGGAGTTTTAGAAAAATGTTGAAAAGTGAATGGTGTGGTTGAGATTTATTTGGAAGAGAGATAAATGATAAGACCCACATATTCATTTCCTAAAAGGGAAAGTGGAGAAGTGTAAAGTTTATTTTGGGAAGGATGGAAAAGGAAAGTGTAGAGTTATTTTGTAAAAGAGAGAGTATAATTTTGTGTTTACCTCTCCAACTACTGCAACAAGTAAGCCTTTAGGAATGAATAGATTGACATGATCCAGTACAATATCTAACTGCTTCTCATCACTGCTTGACCATATACAAGATGCATCATGTACAAAAATGGCAACGTCATTATCTTCATTATTAGACTGCTTAGGGCCAGTATGTTCCTTCGCTACTTCATGCTCAAAACAAGATAGGTATCTGCTTAACCTTTTAGTAGATATTATGGCCTGGGATAAAATGATAAATAAAGAATAAACATCCGAAGAATTTACATCCAATTTAATCTCTCAACTACTCCCTCCATCCCAATGTGTTTGTCCGCTTGCTTTTGGCACATGGACCAAGAACATGAGAATAGTGGAAAAATGACCAAAATGTCCTTACTTTATGGTGAAGCATTTATTAAGTGGATGGAAGGAAGATATTCCGTATATTATGACTTCATTTGGCTCTCAATTTTTCTTGAACTAAATTTGGTCCTCGACTATGGAATTTGGACCTAGATTAGTCATCATATATATTTGGTTCTAGATTAGAAAGGTATTTTTCTCTTTTTATAAATATAGACTTAATCTGACCCTCAACTATGTAACTTGGACCCAAATAAAGTGAAACATGCATAATGCCTCAATTGAATATAGAGTGTATACTCGAGTATCTAGTTGACAACAAACAAATGTCAATGCACAAATTGAGTAATACTGTAAACTGTAAATGCAAAGGTCGAATTCGGATATAAATCATAAACAAACTAAGAAAGTGTGAAAAATATTCGAAATGTGTAACCATATGGTTGAATACATAATAGATAAATGACTCACATCGATTAACCCATTGATGACCCAAGGGAACGAATTGAGAGGGGAGATCAAATTATTGAACAACGCAAGACATGTGAAAACCTGAAATCTAATTCTAAATCATATTAGAGAGGATACAACATTGAAAACTTCAACTAAAAAAATGTGTGCTTCAAACATTGACTATACCGTTGCAGCATCAAGTTCATAACCCATCATTGTATAGAGTCCAAATGTGAACAAAGAGAAAAGAGTTGGTGTCGTTGCCCAGAAGAATACACACCAAGCATCCAAATACTTCCTTGTCTTGAAATTAATCAAATTGGCACATTTAGGGCTAATTTGGTAGAGGGGAAATATAATGGAAAAGAAATGAATAGGAAAGAAAAATCAAATGTATATGCCACAACACTTAAATAGTTTGGAGTGGAAATAAGGTGAAATTGTGCCACCAAAAAACTTTAATTCAAGTACTTTCTCTATTTATATACTATTTCTATTCAACCAAACAACTTTTATTCCGATCCATTTCTCACCCATTTTTCTTCTTTTCCTTTCTCACCAACCTACATTGCCTACCTCTATTCCATTTTCCCCTATCAAACACAAAATTAACTTGTGTGTGAGTGTGTTTTTCTTACCGATAGGTAAGTGACTTCCATCAATCTTGTCTTCATAATCCATGTAGCAAAAAGAAACACCCATCCATACATCTTCAAAGTGCGAACATTCGTTAAGAGTTCGGCTGTCCTCCTTACCCTGCCAATGCATATATCAATGTTACAAGTCAAAATACTTATCGAGTTTTTAGTTAATATCTACTCCATATCACCATAGGTGTATGTTACATTGCAACGGATGAAAAACATTGTACCATGCACATTGTTGTGTATGGAGTATGTCCTAATATTCAATGCCAAAAAAATTACTATTAAGAGTCCTACCCCCCCCCCTCCTTCCACACACACACACACACAAATCTACTCTTGAGTGGGATATATTGGGTTTGTTTTAAATGAACAACCAAGTGGAAGATTGGGGAGTGATATGCACCATGCATGAATTAAAAACCCTAGAAATATTCTGTATACCTTTCATCTTTCTGCTCCATCATGTTTTTGGTAGCTCTAGCAATTAAATTTGCAATCCATTTATTCACTGCACAAAATATCAGTTATAAGTAAAAAAATGGTCTCCAAATAAAGGTCAACCTACAACACATAAACAGATTTATAGGGCCATTCACATGAGCACTTTAATAAGTAAATTTAGTAATTCAATTCTACACAAGACTGTCCAAATAAAGGTTTACCTACTACGACTAAACAATTTCCTCGGGTACATCTTTCGTTCATATATTATATATTTATCTAATATCTATACCAAAAGTGTTGACATACCTGGTATTAGCAATATGGTTATTGCCAGTCCAGCAACAAAGGCAAATTTTACTTGTTCATATAGCAGGTAGAGAGAAACTCCAATTTGCAATGGCAAGCTGAGTAATGGCATGGTTATTATTATGCTTGATAAGAAATAAGATTTTAAAAAATAGTACAGTGGGTTTATAAGGTTTGAGTTAATTTAATTAATAGATTAGATTCTAGTTTTCTGTATGGTTCGACTCACGAGTCACGTCATTATGCCCAATTGTCCATGCAACACTAACCCAATTATGAATAGCAGACAATCATGGTTTGTTTATTTGTATTGTATTTCTTTACCGGATTTGTTTGATCATCTCGATCAACGATTTCTGATTATTCCTCTTTTCCATTATTATCTATCATGATTCGTGCACCATATTCTTACTAAGCCCAAATGCTCAAAAGCACGCCAAGTCTCCAATCTTTTGTTATCCCTTACTTTATTCAATAAAGGCTACACACACCTTTCCACAAATTTCCTCATTGAGCACTCTACCATTTTGAGATTCCAAACCCAAAAAAAGCATTAATCTTGAAAATTTTTTTCCTTTCCCTACCATTTTCCAGGTTTCAAACATAGCCCAAGAATTTCCATATGTGAGAAGTTTTACCGTACATAATGTTCTATCCATGGGTGCAGGTAGCTATGATCATTGTAACTTGTAAGTGCAAAGCTATTGTTAAGAAGTTAGAAGGTGCTCAATTACAATTCTTTGATTGTTAAAAGATTGAAAAATCTTATTCCTATAGACTATAAGCAAAAGTAAGAGAATTTTTACCTCAACATGTCATGGAAGCTGTTGCAGATGTTAACAGTTCGATCCGCATCTACGGACATGAATGTCTGGATTTCACCTTCGGAGAATTTTGATCTTTCTGCTAAATTAGTGCAGAGGCACTGAAAGAGCAAAAGGTGGATTATTACCTAGGGGCTGCATTATGGGGTACTAATGGAAAAGTGTGGATCATAAAAGGTTGATGTGAGAAAACTATGCACAACAATAAACTAGGGGCTCATTCTGTATCGTTTTCGGCTTTCAGATTTGTTTAAAAAAAATTAAAACGAGAGAAGATGGTTAAATGGTTTTCTGTTTTTTTGTTGGCAGTTTTCAAAATTTGCATGCTTAGTATGAGTATGAGTTTTTTTAGTTCATTTCACATGTGAATACATATACCTTTATAAATTGTTAAACAGAAACCAGCAACGATACTAAACTGGCCCTAGATCTCTAACTTTATAAAATTTGATTTAAAAATACTATTAATAAAGTTCAGATCTAACTCGAACCCCAAACAATCTTTCAAAAACTGATAATTATTCAACACACTAAGATTTTTGTTGTTTCATTTTTAGCCAATGTGGAACACTTTCCAACAATTATTAGGAGATTCACCTTACGGTAAATGAGAGTCATGATACTGGATCTTAGCTTTAGCTTAAGCTTGGAAAGGCGAAAAGAGTACTGTGTATCAAGGAAAGATCTGCAACATAGCATTGTTTTAGGACAGGATTTAATTCTGCATCGCAATGCATCTTTCAATGAGCGAACCTTGAAAACCCACACAATAGGGAAAGTAACATTATTTTCCTTTTTCTAATTAAACTTATAGAGCATTAAACAAAGACATTCAAGCTAAAAAATCATTAGGATGATTATTCAATATTCATCATTATAGCTCCAAACATAACTCACGCTTTTCAGAACTTCCTATGAAAAAGTTATTTTCAATAATGCTTAAATATGGGTTGGGACTAAGGTACACAATAAAGTTGGAAGGTGAAACAATTTCTGTGCAAATTGGAAAGGTGAGAACGTTTTACACAACTTGGCCAAATGTGAGATTATTTCCAGCAAAATTTCCTATAAGTTGCAGTCCTTGATAGAAAAAGTTTTTTTTCCCAATTCCATATATGCAATTGTTGAATGTAAATTTTAATTACTTCACATGAAATAAAATATTAACAAGAATGAGTAAAATCATTGGATGAGGAAGTTACCTGAGAACAGATGTAAGGCCCATCGACACTGCAAGAACATAGCCATCATAATGTGTTGAACCTAGTACAAAAAAATCAATAAAATAGCAAAACATTTAGATTAATAGCCCTTTTCACTGCTTTAAGTAAACTTTTAAAAATCTACTAGCAAAATAATATTGAAGTGCCCTTAAAAGTTGTACACAAATGTTTATTGTGTGACCTTGAGGTCACAGGTTTGAGGTCCTAGAAAAAGCCTCGTGTATAAGGTTTGCATCACACCATAAGGTGGGAACCTTCTTCACACCCTCGCTCAGCGGGGATACTTTATGCATCGGGCTTCCCTTTTTTCCCTAAAGTGAGTAACTTTCCGTTACTGTATATTATATTTCAAGATAATGTTGAAAATGTGAAATACGGAAGATACAAACCTCTTTGAAGGTACTGAATCAATCTATTGAGAAGCAAGGGACTTGCAAAGCCAAGACAGTCATTAACTACCTTCAAAAGATGAAAGATTTGTTTATATCAAGCCATGCCAAGAATTAAACGGCCATTTAAAGCTGATAGTATTTTGTCTATCTTCATCTATGAAACTGATTGAGATATGTGTTAGAGTATAAAACCTTTCCCGGGCCTACAACCACAAGCTTGAGCATGTAATTGAATGGGTCCTTTGAAATGGTATCAGAGCCTTGTTGACCAAGAGATCACAAGTTCAAACCTCATCATCACCCACTTTTAAAATAATTAAATTTCATGTGCAAGACTCGAGCTAAAAAAAAAATCACCTACGCGTGAGGGGACATGTTAGAGTATAAAATCTTTCATGGGCCTACAACCACAAGCTTGAGCATGTGGTTGAATTGGTTCCTTGACATTTTGACAAAGTGTCACTGTTTAACAAAGGCAAACAACACTTTACTACATTTGTTCCGATTGAGTGTCCCATGACCCACATTTGTGGGTTTGAGTGCTGTATATTAATATATGCTTGAGGTAAATCTCACATTTTAAAGATCATTTTGGGGGTGAGTGAGACCCAATTTAACATAGTATCAACTCATGATCCCATGGTTTGTGGGTAACCTACCCAGTACCCACTTGATGGTTTGAGCAGCCCATTTGGGGGTAAGTATGGGACCATTTTTCTGTCATTTTCATTATTTAGTCCAACTTTGACGGATGGGTGTGTGTTGTGCATCAGTGCATCCCAGATCTATTGTCTACTAGGCCTCAGTCTAGTATATATATTGTGTGGCAAATCTCTTCTTTTTAGATCAGTTAAGCCCAATTCAGAAGGGAAGCATTTATATCAGCGTCCCTACAAATCTTGAGTTAAATGAAAAAAAATAGTACATAAATAAGACTTTGTTGGAACTAGTTCAAAATGTATTACCTTTAGAAGCCCAAGATAGATGTACGACCATCCATATGCAGAACAAATTGCTTTAAATAATGAAGGATGAGAATCATTTTTTGTTTGATGAGAATCCCAGTGGTTCAAAAGCAAAGTATGGCACGATGAAGGATCCATATCAGGTGGTAGCTGAAGCAAGTCTTCAAAGTCAAGCTGTTTTTCTACACCGCGTTCCAATAGAGAGTCTATAAACTTAAATGTTGCAGTTCTCCAAAAGCTTTGGGTGATTCCCCTTGGCTATCGTGTCAGCAAACACAAAAATGTATAAACACGAGAACGAAACATCAAATGATGCCCAAATTTAGAGTGCTCTTGTTCCATAAACAAAGATCCATACAGTTGTGTGTGTGTGTGTGGGGGGGGGGGGGGGTNCACACAAATTGCTCAACTGAGCAATAGTGCATATGGACCTAATCACACATTCACACTGAAAGATTAAATCCAATCGATTAGGTTAGTTTCAACCAAGGGCTCATAACTTCCTATCTCTGTTTAATATTAATATATGTGGAACTCTAAAGATTCGCACATCCCACTATGTGGGATTTTACTGGGTTTTTTGGAACTCATAAGATTATAATAATGTGTTTTATTTGCCAAGGGGTAACAAACATGAAAGCCAGATGCGTACCGATTCTCTAGAGCATCCTTCTTCAATATCAACATTGCAAGGAAGAAGTGATTCTTCCATTGGACTGTAAGTTTTTGCAATAGCTCAAACTGTTAAAAAAACATTAACTAGCTTGGCTGTTTCAAAAATCAAACGCGTGTTACAACCTGCTTCTTGTGTCGTCAGATTTTAGTCTGACAATATTTATCAGAATTGCAAAAATGACATCCAGTAGAAATGCAAAGACCTTCACACATACAAATACCTGACATGTAAAACATAAACTGTTTCAGTTTTATTGAGAACTACTTAAAAGCTAATATTGTAAGGACACAATCCACAAAAGCGTTCAACTTGAACAACAATGCATAGTTGCAAGCCACAAGCATTGGTATAATGCATGTAATAATAATTCATGAGGCATTATAATGCATGACACACACACACATGGCAAACTCACATTGGCTTAAACATGGACCCCTCATGAACGTGGGGTCTACCATCTTCTACTTTCAACAACCAACGTGGGCGTGGCACGAGCATTGGTGTAGCAAGAGATCCGGAAAAGTTGGGAAAAAAGCTATTTATGTGAAATTTTTCCTATAAAAAATTGTATGGGTGAACTATTCTCTAAGAATTTGGATTTTAGGGGCCGGGGCTACGCCAATGCTCATGACACATTATAAAATTCCTCAAAAAGTGTTACCTCATTAGAAGAAAAACATCTTTGCAGCTGAAGTATAGAAAGAAATGGTTTCAGAATCCACCAAAAGCACAAGATTGGTTTGCAGAAGACAACACTATAGTGGAGACATTTTGAGATCGCGAGTACGTTCACCTAAAGTATGAGGAAAACAAAGTCCAGTTTTGAGAAGAATGGAAAAGGAGCAGCAGCCATGACCAATTTCAAGTAAAAGTAAGAAAAAGGTCTCATTGATAACAGCCATTTCAACAAAATAAGTTAGTGAAAATGGAGCCATAAAATCTTACCCATACTAACAATCGTGAACATGTAAGTAGCCATTCATGATATGAAACAGCATAGCCATTCATAATTTTGCTTGCAAGCATAATCACGTCAGCTAATGCTATGCCCGCTCCAAAAATAGGTACAATGTGGAGTGAAACTTCCAAGGGAAATATATGTACCTGCTTAGTTCCAACAGGACTTTAACTTTGTTGAGAATCTCAATTCATCTAACTATACAAAAACTATCAGAATAATTTTGTCATTAATGCATCATCGGGTTTTAATGCTTCTAAATGATGCACATAAAAGGGGAGAAGACAAACAACATCGGAAGATATAAATAACAAAAGATCTCTTTAAATGAACTGCTAGCCCCTTTCTAAAGAAATGGTCTTGTTTGTACAACTTTTTATTCGAAAGATCTTTTTGTAAGTGTTCTTTGGCTGATATAGTGGAGTCTGATGATTTATTTAAGAGGAAAAGTGTTTGGTAACATCAATTTCAACCAATAAGTAAACCAAAAGCTACTTATACTATTAATTCCACTTATAAGAAGAACCAGTCTTATAAGGCTACCAAATGGAGCCTTAGTATTTTTTAACATGTAACTCTTACCAAACATCAATCGTTCTTTTTCCAGTTAATTTGTTGTGAATAATAAAATTATCTGAAGTACTGTACGGAGTATAATTTAAATTGTCCCAAACTACATTTGGAAACTTGCATCAAAGTTTTGCTTGTTTTGCTGAAGCATGGGCGCATGACTCTTCTTGGGATAAAAAAAAGTTTGTCAAACAACCCATCTTTTTCATGGAGAGTACTTAATTAATATGCAAAGTAATTTATGCCTATGTTGAAGCAGTAATGAAACTTCATTCATGTTACACCAGATTGTGCAATATAAGTTATATAACCAATATTACTGATCAATATAGGAAAAAAGAAACTATGTTTATTGTTTACTATCTCCATCCTAAAATAAAAGGCAAAGTTTGATTTAGGATGATTGACTGGATTTATTTCTTATTTGAATTTATTTAAAAATTGGTGTAGAGATAAATAAAGTAAAATGTATATACAAAGTATTTAAAAGTTACATCAAAAAGTGTACAAAACAATAAGTGACATTGCTATAAAATTTGGTCAAATTATGGATGAAAATATGTAAAGAAAAAAAATATAGTGTGACCACTATGTCCTTTAATTCCCATAACTTGGCAAGAAAATTTCAGCTTACCCTTCTGCCTTTGGAAGCCCTTTTCACAATTCCCACAGCAGAGAGCATAACAATGGTTACTATGTTCCCTCCAGACCCCAGAACTGTAAAACATGGCCTTAAGTAGAAAAGAAAACAATTCCACCACCATAATTTATTTATTTTTTCCCCTTTTTCGAATTCTAACAGACATTTTCAGAAGAAAAAAACACTCCTCTGTCCTGATTTAGCTCTCCACTTTGTAAACAAATCCCTTTTTTATGAAATGGATTTAAAATGTCAAATTAGTCCTTGAAATGAGTTTCAATTCAGACAATTCATCTTAATTTCTTTATTGACTATGGAAAATGTACAACTCATTCCGGACAAACCAAGATTTAAAAAAAAGTGTATAACTAAACCCGGACAGAGTGAGTATATAGTAATAATAATAATAATAATAATAATAATAATAATAATAATAATAATAATAATAATAATAATAATAATAATAATAATAATAAATGAAAGGATATAGATCATTAAAACAAGGTGAAACTCCATTTGCATCCCACACCTGCATCCAAAAAAATAATAAAAAGAAGATTTTTAATAACGACTGTAATTTCTGAAAGCTTAAAGCTTTAACATGTATCTGAGCATTAATCTTTTCGGGCAGAAATGGGTTCTTTTTTCTTCTTTGTTTCAATTGAAGCCTCAGTAAAAAATTGCTTTATTGAATTATTTTACTTAAAAAAAAAAGCAAACAAAAATATGGGGATGCGGAGAAAGTAGCTCACATAGGGGTAATCTGGGCAGATTTTCTTCATCAACTCCATTTTCGATGACAAAATTCTTTCTTCTTCTTCTTCTTCTATCTTTTGGCGTGTAGTAGTGAGAATGTGAGACGAGTGACTGAGAGATGAATGAATGATTGCATGGATTTAATCAGACCGTTTGTATATACTCCGTATTGATTATTTTCAACCTCCTTTATACTCGGCACTTAATTTTATAATGTTAAAATAAGTACTCCCTCCGTCCCGCTATATTCGTCCACTTTTGACTTTTGGAATTGTTCATCTAAGCACTTTGACTCATCAAAATCTCTCAATATGTAAGCCTAAATATAGTCATGTGTGATCTTGTTTGATTTGTCTTAACATATAGATTATTAATTTATAATTTCTATAATTTTTTAATATACAAATTACAAGATAAAATGGATTAAAGAAGTGTATTGGATGGTGTGCAAAAATGAAAGTGGACAAATACTCTGGGACGGAGGTAGTATTTTTTTTAGGAAGTAGTGCAAGCCTAAGGGAGGGGACCCGTGAAAACCCAAATACTCTCTCCGTCCCTAAATATTCACAACATTTGCTTTTTCAGCAGTCGTGGGAACTTTTGTTTATTTCGACGTTTTCATTGGTTATTTGATAAAATAAAATATGTTTTACACCTCTTATTTCGAAGAACTTTTCAGTAGTTTTTTTTTATGTAAATTTTATATTTTATTTCTTTACCAATATGTAAATAAAATGAATTGAAAAAATTTGATATTTTGCCTCGAGAATACAAATGTGGCAAATAATTTGGGACGGAGGGAGTAGCAAACTACTCCGTACTTTGATGGGTGTTTCCCTTAAAAATTTGAATTAATATCGTGTGAGCCGACACTATACTTGATCTTAGCCAAAAGACGGTAAAAGGTATTAATCTTAAGATAAGTATTTTGCTCAAAACATATACTCCATCCGTCCCCATTTATATTGTATGTTTCAGTTTACAATGTTTAACTGAAGTTGTTTTCAAATCATTCTATATGAAAAATGAAGTAAAAATAAAAAATAAAATTACATACCTAAAAACTACATTAAAAAAAATCTACAGAACTAGTGGTGACATGATTACATTACTTTATCAAATGACTAACGAAAAAAGAAAATAAAGTGAATAAAATTTGATCAGGACAATTTAATTTGGTATTATAAAGTGTCCCATGCCATATCTTTAAAAAATGAAATACTTCCTCCGTCCCACTATGTTTGACTACTTTCATTTTTGCACACCATCCAATACACTTCTTTAATCCATTTTATCTTGTAATTTGTATATTAAAAAATTATAGAAATTATATATTAATAATCTATATGTTAAGACAAATCAAACAAGATCACACATGACAATATTTAGGCTTACACATTTGATGAGTCAAAGGCTGGATTACATATAGCGGGACGTTAAAAAGACTTCTTAAAGAAGTCCAAAAAAGATTAGAAAAAATCTACAGGCCCAGGGGATGGTAACAGGGGAAGTGCAGTTGAAAATGGAAGGAGGCATCAAGTTCATCAGTCATCAGCACTCCCAAAATCTGGCTCCGGTGGTTTGAGAATGATGTTCTTACTAGATTTCCGCACCTTGTACAAAGCATTGGCCGCAAACCGGGACGCGAACATGGTTGCCCCAATGCTAGTAGTATTAGGCGCCGAACCATTCTCCGGAATCAACGACGTCGTCTCTTCATCGTCATCGTCATAATCGTCGCCGCCGTCGTCGTAGGCCCCACCGTGGCGCAACTCCGCATTTTTCCGGCGCACGTGGCGCCTCCACGCGGCTTGGATGAACATGGCGGCCCAAGTCCGCCACTGCTGGGAGTAGAACCGGAAGGTGTGCTGGACCTGGCGGCTGTGGATGCGCCGGAACTGGGTGGAGATGAACTTGACTTCGTCCGCGCTCAGCGCAAACGCCTCCACCTCCGTCAGCGCCGTGACGGTGCGGGTCGACGGCGGCAGGTTGCCGCCGGCCTTCGGGTCCAGGGCCCACGTCAGAAGCTCCTCCCCGCAGAACTCGCTCTCCTTGAGGATGCCGCGGTTGAAGAAACCGCTCCTCCCGCCGTCCGTCGTCACCGTCTCCAGGCGGCCCCGGATGATGAACAGCATCTCGTCCACCGGGTCCCCCTCTCTCACGATGTAAGTCTTTTCCGTGAACAAGCACGGCTTCAGTCTCTCACATATGGCGTCAAGCAACCTCTCCTCCATGTTTGCAAATAGAGGGACCTAAGAGAGAATGAACATGGAACAAGTAAATTTATGCTCCCTCCATTCCATATTAACTGTCCATTATAACTTTGTTATATTAAAAAATTAATGAATGTAGACATACACTATGTCTACATTCATTCATTTCTCAATGTACCAAGAAAGTCATAATGGATAGTTAATATGAGATGGAGGGAGCATCAACCCCAGGTAAACCTCCCACCCAATCCCAACCCCTTAATCCCCCACCTACGTCAATTGTGTGGTGCAAGTTTAGTTGACTTTGGGGTCAAATATTGTGAGACAGCGTACCCTTCTAACCAAATTCATACAAAGATGACGCTTGATATCTCTTCGCAGGTCTGATGGCAGATTCTGCACCAGACTCTCTTCGTCAACCCCTTTTGTTTCCAACCATTTGTACTGATCGTAAGACCGGACTCTTTCCCTCAGATCTTGTGGTAGCACCCTATGATGCATCCATTGCTCTGTGTCGCGTCTTTTAATCCTCATCTCCTCAAGCCGGACCGTTATAGATTGAAGATATGTCTGTTTTACAAAAAGAAATTCAATTGCATTTCTTGCCTCCAAAGAAATAGAGTAACATAGAGTATCCATGCATACCACATAGTAACTGCTATGCTATGTTTGAAATGCGGAAAAATTCTTGAAAAATTAAAGAAAAAGCAATGTCAAGGAAATAGTGTTATGTTTGGTTAATCTTGGGAAATACAAAAGAATATCAAACTTGATAAGTTCTTTATATGATAGATAAATGTAAATATAATGAGTTGGAACTAAAGTTTTGTTATGAAAAATCCATGGCATCTGAAACTGCGGCATACCTGCATGTTTCCAATGAGAAGAGCAAATAGTAGGAGCCCAAGAATGCCCAATGCTATTGAAAAGATGACCTCCAGAGGATAGGTGCTTGTTTCAAGACCCTGGCCAAGAGTGCTGCAAAAAAACAAAGATCCATTCCATGAGATAGTCTATACATTTTGGTCTTCTCTCATTGTGCACGATAATGCCTCGTTTGGTTACCTTAACTGCAAAATAATAATTAGCATATGACTTGCTTATTATATGGCTGAAATAGATTTTACCGAATGCTTTTCCTTTCCCAAAAAAAAAAACAGCTGATTTAGCGATTTCAACTAAACAACCCTTACTAAATTGCCCTAAATCTTGTTTACAATTTCTAGGTAGAGTATCTAATTTTCCCTTCAGTAACTGGCTAACTGCCTTCATTTATTTGCCTTGTGAACAGTAATGGAGAGGTATGAGTCATTTTTTCACTAATATGAGTAATTAGTTTCCAGAAGGATACTAATAGTTAATGCCTAAATCATTAGATTCATATCACTCTGAAGAACAAATTGTCCATGTTTTTGCTTTACCTCAGATTTTGCAGGCCCCACCACAAGCAGTAACTATATTTGGAGAAGAATTCTTCGGAGTCGAGAATTCCAGCCGAGACAGCTTGCGCATATATACCATACTTAAATGTGGAGTTCTCATCAGCCGCACAGTTTTTGTTCAAAACTTGTTGGCTAGTGTCCCTCCAATTTGTTATGTTTGCCCTGCTCTCTCCATCTTGTGCACAGTACAGTAAAGAATAGTTTGCACTGCAATCTGGACTATCCAAACAGGCTTGCTCCCAGCATGCATTTTTACGTTCCACCGCTAACAGGTACCAATAGGCTCCAAATGTCTGCATATCATGCAAAACATATCACTGTGTAGATTTTAAAACAGAGGGGGTGTAATGAGAATAAATACTTAATGATCAACTCACATGACTAGCAAGAATGAACCACAGCATGTAATATGCAGCACCAAGCCATGCTGTTTCAGCAAAGACTCCGGAAGTCTTCTTCAAGTCTGAATTTAGAGGTACAAAACGCAAGAACCTAGGGATATGTTGGAGTATGACGACGATGACTAAAGCTTTCTTTGTGCCTAATACATCTGAGCCTTGTGACCCATGAAGGAATCTCCAAACCACAATCTGCAGATGGAAAGAATTTAAAAAAAAGATGCAAATAAAAGAGTTGAATTTTCCTTGCAACTTTAAGATTGTAAGAAGGAATGGTGTCGAACATTCTTCATTTAAAACTAGGTAGTATTCGCTCACACACACACACATATACAGAGAGAGACATAACTTTTGCGCTATAGATGAGAATAATTACCACAAGATAATCTATTAAATATTTCTAAATGTATGCACATTAAAACGTAAAAGTTGGTATCTCCAATGGTTAGAAACACACATCTCATATTAACTCGGCATTGATAGGAGTTTGTCCACATTAGGCCAAGTCTCCACGAATTTATTTTGGACACTTCATGAAGACCTCATAATAGTGGTCTATAATGGAATTAATTTTGGACACTTCACGAATTTATTTTGGACACTTCATGAAGACCTCACAATGAATTTTGGAGGAAATTTTTCCTTATTTTGCAATGTGGACTTGGGTTGACACCCATATACCATTCCGCATAACAAACATATTAGAGAACCAATTTGATCTAAACGTTGGTTCCTACCATGAATTTCAAGTATCTACCGAATGCCCTTTCTCTCTTCAAAAGGATAAAGGTACAGTGCATAAAATCAGTTCTTCAAAGAAATAAATAAAAGTATGGACATTGTAATCATTTTCTCTTATAGAGTCATTACACTTAAGTGTTGGGGTAAACTGTAAACATAATCTCTTGAGGATGCTTTTGGAATGAATTAGACTTAATCTGGTACGGAGTATAAAAGAGTCGTGTTTGATGTCAGATGGTGGTTTGTGAAGAATCTTCTCACTCGATGGTTTATGAACCTTGTTTAGGGGTCAGTATGGGACCATTTGCCCACCCTTCAATTTTTTCGTCTACTTGGACCGAGACCTCAATTATTAAGTATATTTTTTGGGATGAGTTAGACTCAACTCACTCAAGTTAACAAATATGTACTTTAGAAAAAAGAGGATGGGGGAATGGAAACTAACCTGGGGCAGGGGGAGAACAGAAAGAACATCAACTACAAAATAACGGCGCACGTATCTGCTTGCAATTTGTTTGGGATCAATCACAAGTTCACCTCGTCCAAAAACCCGAGATGATGGAGCAATATACGCTGTGCGAAACTGGAGAATCACTCGGATGAGATAGAATGAATCAATGATAGTCCTCAGGGTAGTTACTGTGTATGCCAAACTTGTATCTAAATGAAGGCAGCTGTCTTCACTGTTGAAGACAGGAAGATAGAGGAATAGAGGATCAGCTGATACTGAAAATATGCAAGAAATAACAAAAAGCCTATTCCAAAGTATGAGAGACTCGTCTTGAGGATCGAATATCATTTTTTCAGAGACTCCGAGGTCTTCTGGGAACACTGCTCGTGCAACTCCAGATTTTATTGATCTACCAAACGTCATTAGGCCTTCAGACCCTCTCATCACCCCTTGTTTAACTGACATTGAAGAAGGGTTGTGAGATTGTCTACCAGGAGCCAATCCTTCTAGACTAAAACTACAATTCGTCGTCCCAGGAGCCATTTCCGATGTGAATGATGATGATCTGGAGTCAATGTCATCCAACCTATGTTTGCCACAAAATCATTTAGATAATCACTCTAAGAGTTTTAGTAACACATTTGATATTGAAGAACTATAAGAGCCTCTTTCGCAGGCATTTTTGACTTATGAACCATTTTTTCACTAAAAAATAACTTATTTAACTGCACTGGCTGAATCGCCTTATAATGGGAAAATATAGTGCATTAGTTATTTGGAATATATGTTCCCGTACGCACTATCAAAATAAAAAAATCATTTACTTTACACACCTTACAAATTTCTCCTTCCGCCCATTAATATACTGTGACTTGAACATTGTGAAAACTCAACTGCATGGAGTATGAAAGAAAGGGTGTTCAAAGAATCAGCCCAAACAGGATGATGGCTTATCAGATTTCCTTTCATTGACATGTGGGCACATCAAAAACCATGGATCACATTCCAGTACTGCAGAATGAGAAAACATACACTAGGTAATATTTGATTCTTGTAAATGACATATAGCACTGATTGTAGTTTGTTTCTCTAATTGATCTGAATAATCAAAAAAGCACTAACGGCACCAGACATCAATGTGGAGATTATTACTTTTTGTCCCAAGTTAGTGAAGTTACTGGCTTTGCCACAATAACACTAGACGGCTAGACCCTATGAATAAGCACCCCAAGACCCATGGAGGAGGAACAACTAGGTATATATATTTACTTCTCCGGCATCAATCAATGCTTACGGTGTGCTTCTACACACAAGAAGACGTTTCTAAACTGACTATATTTCTACACAGATTTCAACAACAACAACAACCCAGTAGAATCCCACGGAGGAAGGGTCTGGGGAGGGTGTGTGTAAGTAGACCTTACCCCTACTTGGAAGTAGAGAGGCTGTTTCATAAGAAGTTGATACATTGATTACAGCAGCACATTTGTACTTTGACCAGCACATCAAACATTCCAGCAACATTCTATATAAGGTGCACACATCAATGTACAGCCACACGTACTACCGATTTGTTTAGATTGTTGCAAGTAAAATGGAAGAAAGTGAATGAGATAAAATGGGGTGCAATGTAAACCTCTAACCTTTCCTCCCCAAAATTGGAAGAAAATGAGAGAAATTGGTCGCCCCTCTCTCTGTTTACTTTCTCCTCACTATCTACCGATCCGAACACAGCAAGTAGGTCTAGAATAACCAAATTCTAACAAGAGGCTAAAAATTCATAAGGAATGGAAAATTACAGCAATTATTTTTTGTCCCGGGGCATCTAAAACTAATTCAATTCTCCAAAATCCCCTACTTCACATTATTTGAATTCTCGGGAAAAAAAAGGATAAAATCTTCGAAACAGATACACAATACAGACATTGCATTTACCCTAGACTGTAATGGAAATCGAAAGATCTAAATCAACGAATCTGGATTGAGGAAAATCCGATAGAAAATTCTAAATGTAATGATTTTAATTCTAAAAACAAACATAATTGCAAATGTAAAGCTGAAATTGGTTTACTTGGAATCTTCGCCTGCTGATCAATTCTCCATGAAATCTCTTCCGGCGATGCAAAGATGCAGAAATGGAAAATAAAAGAGAGAATGAAGGAACGGACCAAATGGATGCCGGGCATGGCCTGTTGGCGCCAAATAAGAAAGACTGCCGGGAATGTCGGTTTTTAACGGATTTGGGGACGACGACGTCTTCTATTGTTATTCCCATACTTAGAAATTTAAATACTCTTTTATAGTTCTCTCGTCTTAAATTTAAATTTTCATTTGTTATTCTCGCAAAAAATACATTGTAACAATGGAATAATACTCCGTATTTATATGAATCATATTTAATTTTACATGAATTGTATTGTATTTATTTTCTATAATCAAACTTGTGTTTCTCAAGATTTGAAAATAAGTTGTGTTACAATCTAGAATTATTTCAATTTGAATTTGGTTAAAAGTTTCCAACTTAGTTAACATGTTACAAAATTTATAAATATTGTTTCTATCATTCACTCTTTTCATTTATTTTAAAAATTACTCCGTATTATCCAACCAGTTCAATCTTATATTTCACTTATTAAATATGTTAAAATGGTCATAACTTTAAACTTGTAGTTCAAATTGTTTCATAAGATATACTCTTGGTTTCCTTTTACTAACACCTATAAATTTTTCACCTATTTAACAGATCTAATTTGACTATAAAATACAGAATCCTCCGTATTAACATCAAAGTTTTTTAATTTTTCTCTGAAATACTATTCACAATTTATCTAATTGAAATATAAATAGAATTCAATTTTTTAGTTTTAAACTGGTTCTGGTTCTTTTTTATCAGTTACCAACTCTTGTTTAATAATTGCCCACTCATAATTTTATTTAACACACAATTTGGATTGGTAGCGATGCAGAATACCAATATAAAAATCTTAAATTTATGGATGTAGCAAAATCAATTAATGAATATGGAAGTATTTACATAAAATCAAGAATTTTTTTAGAGTAGTCGTGTAAATATTTTTATGTATAAATTGTGAAAAGTGTAAAATACTATAACTTCTCACAATTTCATACTCTATACATTATATATGAATGCAAAAGGAAATGAAATATTTAGACTAAAAAAACTCTATATATACTATAAACTCATTGGGGTTTATCTTGTCTTTTAATGCAAAGTGTTTATACCGTAGACCTTAAGTTCATACTACCTCCGTCCCGCTATATTCGTCCACTTTTGACTTTTGGAACTGTTCATCTAAGCACTTTGACTCATCAAATTCTCTCAATGTGTAAGACTAAATATAGTCATGTGCGATTTTGTTTGATTTGTCTTAACATATAGATTATTAATATATAATTTCTATAATTTTTTAATATATAAATTACAAGATAAAATGGATTAAAAAAGTGCATTAGATGATGTGTAAAAATGAAAGTGGGCAAATATTCTGGGACAGAGTGGGTATAACAAATTAATAAAAAAACATATTAAATCAACACTCCATAATTAAAATGTTTGTCATCATTCAAACCTTTAAGTAGTTTATTGCTCCCTGAGATATTATTTCCTTGTAATTTTCCCATATGTTTTCACTAGTATTTTTCATTTTCCAAATGCGTCCTAGAAGTTGTACAAGTGGTACAACAAGGCTAATTGGAATGAAGATTGTGATACAAGTATGTTACTTTTATATGAATAAGGTTGTGTACTGTTCGCCTGGTCTGATCTGATCTAATCTGATTGCAATTATAATTAAAATTGTTTCTGATCTGATCTCGTTATAATAAGAATAAGTGATAAACAAAAAAATAAGTTGAACGAAACGCTACCTAAGAATCTATGATCTAAACATACAAGAACTCCAGAATTAAGAGCTTTAAATATAAAGTTTTTTAAAAAAAAACAAGAAAACCCAATGGAAACTATCATTTGTACAACTGAAATAAACTCTTCCTATGTTTTTGAACAATGAATGTTTACATATAGCTACGCCCTACATGTTCACAGTGGCATTAATCTTCTGTACTTGAAATACCACAAAAACAATAGGAAAATCGCGAGCCCACAGACCCCAGTGATTATGAGCACCCATTTGAATGCGTTGTCGTATTGAAACATTGGGATCTCAAAATTCATACCAAACACACCCGCAACCACGCCGAAGATGGCAACTACGAACGTTGCAGTTGTTAGTATCAGCTCAAACTGTATCAGCTGGTTCCTCACATTGTCCTGCAGGCACAATGAAACGTTTTTTTTAACAAATACTTGGTGATGGGCAATATTGGGGCCGACCCGAATGTGTATAGCGAGTTAGGCCTACATACCCAGCCCATTCCATGATGGATATTGTTTTTAGGCCCAGACCATCGAGGCCCGCACAATTGGAAATGGGTTGGAGCCCACATGAAATAGGGTGGGCTGACCCGACCTAAGAGTGGGGATACACTCTACCGAAGTGTTAGGAAACACCTATGATCTGTTTTCTATAACTCTCTATAATTCCACCACTGATGTCCTTAAGAATTTTGAGCTTTGTTATTTTAGTCCTTTGCTAATGCATCATTTTGAGAACCTTTGATGGGAAGAGGACTAAAATTGACAATGCTCGCAATTAAAGTGGACCTCCAATGGAATTTCATAAAATAGTGGAGTAGATGTGGAATATTTCCAAATATAGAGGACCATTTGTGGAATTTATTTAACAATTAAATCCAGTTAAATTCAGCAGGTAGTTTTTTATCATATGCAGAAGAGACACATACCAGCTGAATGTTGATGAAATCTTCTGTATCATCAATATACTCCTTGAGCTGTAAATGGAAGAAATCGAAAGATGTTGGATCCAATGATGGGAATATTGAGGGTATGCTTGGGATCCCGGGAAAAGTTGTGGACAATTAAATATGAATATTGTTTTTGAATTACAAACACTACATAAATTTAGATTCCTTAGCATTTATATAATGAAAATAAATGGATCAAATGAGTTTGAGCAAATATCTAAAATAGATTTATCTCGAGTTTGAAGAAATAAATATGTTCACCCACCTTTTTTTCCTTCTAAATTTCTAAAAAAAATTTAAAAATTTGTTCTTCCATACTTTCTTTCCTTGTGTATCCTGAGTTCCAAATATACTCCAATGATCTGTTTGGATCACAGAAAGCACTCGGGAAATAGAATATGGAAGAAAATAGAGAAAAAAATTGGAGAAATAGCAAATTTATGGGAAAATAAAAGATACTCCAGAGTAGACTAAAATTCAAAGCAAAAGAAAATCTATTATATAGAGACTAAGAAACATAAATACTCAAAGACGTTAAATAAACATTCAAAAAAATAGTCATGTTTCCTTCTCCCTCCCATTTCCTAAGGTAAAACAAAACGCGGGAAAATAACTCCAGCATTTGTTTTTTTCTTTCTATTGTATTTTTCAAGATCCAAACATACCCTAAAGCTCAAAGATCAGTTTGTAAGAAGATTACCGAAGTCAACTTGTTGAGGGTGCTATCAATGACAACAAAATAAGCCTCCAAGAGCATCTCCAGTTCCTCTATACTTTGTGCTTCTGCGACACTCTCTGAGCTTCTCATGCTCTCGTGCCTGCTTCTAGCTATGCTCAAACTCTTTTCAAGCTTCCTGCTGCTGTCGGGAGGAGAAGAAACTGGAGAAACCGGAGCAGAAACAGACAGCAAGCCATCAGTTGATCTATATCCAATCAAAGATTGATCACCATAAAGCAACGATGATTCCATCCGCCTTTTCTTCTCAGTAAGATACATTTCAGCCATGTCACCATCATCATCCATAAGTTGCTCTATCTCATCCCTAACCTAGATGAATAGGAACAGGACATGAAAAACAAGAAAACTTTAGGGCTATATATGGCACTCTGGAAAAATAGTAGGGAAAGGGAACAGTGATGAAAAATGCCTTTTTATGCTTGTTTTTACCTTGAAAAATACAAAGGAAATTCACTTTTGACTACAAGTTTTCAAAACTCTTACATATAGTTATAGAGCTAGGTTCTTTTGAGTTTTGACAACCATCATGGATGTCATAATATGGCACCAGGCGATTTGAGAACCCTACGGTGTTCCGTTTAACCCCGAAGTGATTCCTACCCTTCTAATCCCCCCTTAACCCATTTCCACCCCCCCCCCCTCGTTTCACCCTTATGCTACATTAGTTATCGTGGCATGACAGCGAAACAAAGGGACATGAGTGGGCTTGGGGGTCTGTGGGGGTGTTAGCGGGGTAGAAACCAATTTGGGGTCAAATGCAATACCATAGGGCCCGCAAATGGTATGGGTGTCATATTATGAAACCCATGATGGGTGTCAAAAGAACTCTAATCATTTTTATATTTCCTATCCTTGATATAAATATACATACATACATAAATACACACACACACACACACACACATACACACATATAAATAATGAGTTTAAGTATATAAAAATGATATATTGAGATTGAATCAATTTTATTCCCCTACAATTACAACCCTTTCCAATTCTCCTTATTACTTTCTTTCCTTGGCATCTTCAAGTTCCAAACGGACCCTATAGATAAAGTGGATAAGAAGCACCATAATCAAGTACTCCCTTTGGCCCGAAAAGAAAAGAGTCGTGTTTGGTCAAGATGCAAATTTTAAAATCCGGGAAAGGTAAAACTCTAAAGGGTCATCAGACCATGGAATCCAACCTAGATGAAATTTATTTGGTTGGTTAATAATATGGAAAAAAGAGCTCTGTTTTGGGATAAAAAACTTTGAAACCAAACAATCTTTTTTGGAACGGAAGTATAAAGATCAATAATAGCTATGATTGATACCTTCTGGACACGACGAGTCAAGGCAACAAGTCTGCTTTTCAATCGACGAACACGCTCTAGATTTAATGTACTTATCTTTGATGTAAGCTCATCCAACAAAGGATATGCTTCGATTTCTAGTTCGGATGCCTGACAATTTTGCGGAAAAAATTGCACAAATTAACAACCAATCCCTTCACAACAGAGGAGGAATAACAACATAGTCTTAAATAAATAAGAAAAACTTACAACCAAATGACGTAAACAAACTTAGTGAAGATTGCTATAACAAAAAAAATTGGTTGATATTTTCACTAAAGACACACTCAAATTGAAATGCACCCGCAGTGTATGTTAAATACCTGATTATCAAGAAAAGTGCATGCAGATTCGAGGGCAACTTCAAGAGCACGGAATTCAAAGGGTAAATAATCAGGTGATGAGCTCCCAAATATATCCTCAAGATTTCTACTTCCTCTCCTTCGGCTCAACTGAGGACCCTCCGGTTGCCAAACCTCACCAACCCCTGCAGATTGCAACCGCCTCTGCAACTCCACCACATACTGGAGAACATAACTGTCAAGAGAGTTCAGCAGCAGAACCTCATCAGCCGTTATAATACACCTAATTTGCTCAAGGTTAACAACAATAGCCCTTTCCCTTCCAAGAATTGTAGATGGGTAAACAAACAACGGGTCAAGTAGCCGTAGATCACGTGCCGGGAGATCACAGCGGCGCATCATAGTGAATTTGTCAACCTCAATGATTTGGGAGTTTCCGGAAGCTTCCACGCGGATCCATGACCTCACTCCCTGGCCACGCTTTTTAAGGCCTGGGACATCGAGTCCTTGGAATGGTTGTCGACCAGAGGCAGATGGCCTATAAGACGTGTCTCTCATGTTTGCAACTGGTGCATATTTTGTAGGAAGCAGCCGTTCTTTGAGATCAGCCATGGAACTGATTCCAATTCTGGGGAACATGAGAAAGTGTTGATGAGAATGAAAAAAATATGCAGCACCAGTTGGAATATAAGGTAAAGGGAGAAAGATTAAAGTAAGACTAAAACATTGAAAATATACCAAAATAGGACTTTTATGTTTTTTTTCCCAAAATAGGACTTACATTACCAAACATGGTCATATACATTACCAAAAAAGTATAGTAATTTGCACATGTACACCGCCACATTACCACAATGCAAAGTCACATTACCACAGTGCAAAGTCCTATTCCGGGAAAAAAAACATGAAAGTCCTATTTTGGTACTTTTCTCTATGTTTTAGTCCTATTTAGGATGATTTCTATAAGGTAAACAAGCCTGGATATAACAGGAAAATTGGGGCGGTTGCACAATGTTTACATGATTGGAGTGCAAATACATCTTTTGACCCTGGAGAATAATTCTAGCAAGAGATTAGATCTACTACTTGTCCCCCACAAAAAGGTTTGTGTTTCACCGAAATACATATTTTCTAAAATTTAGCAAGGTAGAATATTGTAAATCATCAAATCTAACAATATTTCCATTTTTTAGTTTAACGAAGTTAAAGTTACTTAACTTGTTTTGGGCATTGTTTGCTCGAAACAAATACATTAAATACAATGAAAACTAGCTTAGTTTGCTCAAATACAACTCTTTTTCGGTCAAAAAACAAGTTCCGAAAGAAGGTTCCATCATGTTTGAACTGAATTTTCATCACTATCATGTCCCTGTCTTCATCAAATTCTCAGTTTCATTTTGTTCCATTGAACTGGTAACGTTTGGTAAGCCTAAACGCAATGCTACCAAATACACATCTTCGGTGTAAATTTCACATCAAACATACATCTGCGTACATTGCATTACGCGTTGCCAAACAACTCCTAATGCATCCAGCAAAACAAGCATAATTTTTCATTTTCCTAATTCATGAACACCCCACCCCCCCCCCCCGCCCTNCATTGGCAACTACACGGAGGAGAAACACCATTTCCAAATGCAAACCAGTGATAAGAAACTGAAGACATCTACTTTAAATTCAAACTATTTTCAGTATTTATCATTTGTCGGACTTTAATCTCCCAAACCACAGTTCGTAAACATACCACCAGACCTAAAAAAAGGCAAAAAATGCTAATCCACCAGAAGATCGGAGAAGAAACCCCCAAATTACCTCCGGTGAAGCAGAAGGAGCTGAAACAAGCCGTCAATCGCAAAGACGGATTATTGATTCCGAGCGTGAGAGATTTCTTTTGAGATTTGGATTCAGAATCTTGGAGAGCAGATGCGTGACGTCACGTTTCGAGAACCAGTCATGAGTGATTGAGCACGAGCTCCCAACGCTTAGGAAGCATGTGTTCATTGGTTAAGCTACAATGTTTAGATAGGATGAAGTCACAAATGCACAACTAGAAATTTGAGAAAGAAAATCTTACTCCTCCTAAAAACTATTTCTCAGTTACTATTTACACGGTCAAACTTAAATCACTTTCTTTACATATTTTTGCTACTTATTTGATAAAATAATATAGTCTTGTCACTCCTCGTTCTGTAGAACTTTTAGTGTAGTTTTTAAATATTATTTTTTTAATTTTACACATATAATCAAATAAATTGAATTGAAAATAAAGTCGGTCAAATCTCGTAAACACAAATGGGAAGATGATTTTGCGACAGAGGGAGTACTTCATTATCTTCATGTTATTTGTTCATTTTGTCTTTTTGGAGTCAAATTAAATTATCTAAGATTAAATATATTTTTAATCCCTTTAAAAATATATTTTTACAAAAAAAATATTTTGAAAATGGTTCTTAAACGTAATTATTGCGTTAAATAAGGAATTTCAAAAAAAATACGTAATTATTTTTACAAAAAAAATTATCGTAAATGGTTCATAATATTTGTTCATTTGTATTATATCTGAAATTCCAAATTTCTAAGGAATATAATATAATATAATTTGGGAATTGAAATGTAATTCGATGAAAGACATAACTACGGACATGAAAATTGCGTCCGAGATAATTAATGTAAGACTAAGATATTGTGCATGAAACAAATCTGTTATCCCAACAAATTAAAAGTCTTAATTACGTCTAAGAACCATTTTTTCAAAAAAAAAACAGTAAGGATGACCCAAAAAATTACTAGAACCAAATATTAGAGTCGTCTATACAAAGACTAAAAATATATTTGACTCTTTTTAATTACATTAAATTTTGATTTCAGTGTATATATCAATATAATGAAATAAATTTTTAAAAATTCTTAAAAAAGTCGAACTTAATGGATGTATTTCATCATTTTAGTTGATGATATATGGCTTCTCATATTTGAAGTGTTTAACTTTGTGTTCTTATTGACCTAAACTTATCTTTTAAGTTTGTTCCTCACTCTTGCACTCCACCATCGCTCCTTCAGTCGTCACTCAACGCCACATCGCTGATAACACTTATCATCTCACTCACTTCACACCTGTAACACCTCACAAAAGGCTGGAGTGACGCATCATGCCCAGCCTAACCAAGTGGTGCACATATTGGTGTGTGCTTCGTAGTCTCCTCATGGCTTAGGTGTGTGGCTTGACACACCCCACACTTTACTACGGAGTATCAATTTTTGAAGAAAAAAATGTGTTATACTACCCCGTATTTGTTATTAGTAATGGACATTGTTTATCTTTCCCTTATGGTTTTGTATACTAAAAGAGTATACACATCACGTATATACGGATATATATACCATTCTATTTTCTTCAAATTCAAAGAGTTAGGCTTCTAATTTTCCTCTCATTTAAGCCTCATTTGTTATCAGCATTAGAAATTAACGTTAATGCTTACAAAACACATCCAAAAGTAACTTTTAATGTCAGCCCATTGAAATTTTATCTCAAACGCTAACAACTAACACTAATCAAAAAAGTTGTTCCACATCTCTAAAGACCAAGCAGAATTACGGGATATTGTTGGTACAGATCTTCATTATCTTTGAAGATACCATAGTTTATTATAATGGGTATATACACGTAGAAGGCAAGGAAACCGAAAATCTACAGCTTTTCATACCAAAAAGAAAGCTAAGCTAAACTAACTAACTAATGAACATGGGACTTCATTATATTGTTATAATTTACACATTAGTTTAGAACTCAACGACCCGTTTAGAGCCGGGCAACGAAATGTGGGTCGGGTCATTTCAAATGCAAGCCTCGTTGATGCGGGCAGAGTAATCGGGCATCCATGCGGCTTCCCATCCGATCCATTCTCCCCACCGGTCTGACTCATCTACCCCTTCGTCGTAGTATTCCTCTTGGGGCACATTCGTCTTTTCCTTCAACTGGCTCATTACTATCTGCAAATGTGCACAATCACCATACTGTTTAATGCCGTTGTTTTCGAAAAAACTTTTCAAGGACGAAAAAAATTGCCGCCTAAAAATGAATAATTTTGATACGGAGTATTATTTTTAATAATAACTTATTTATTCTACACATCATATCCTATTTTTCAGTGACATAGACTGTTTTGTCAAATGGACAACAAAATACATAACAAAGTAAATAAAATTTGACACCTTGAATAGTAAACGAAAACATTATTATTCGACAAAAGAAGTATTTGCAACATAGATAATATATGTATGTTAATTTAGTTAGTAGGGGTAATTTCTTTTTATACACACAACACATTGTTGTAATAAAATAATTTGTGTGGAGTAGAAAATATTTTACGAAATTAATCTAATACTACGTAAAATTATTTTTTGCAAGGCACAATAAGGAGTTAAGGATTGAAAGTGGGAACAAACCCCATAAGCTTCATTGATTTGATGAAATTGGGTCCCACAATTGCTTCCTCTGCACACGTCCGGATGATACTGCAATGGGAACAAATTTAAAAAAAAAACATCAATAAAACATAAAATTTACAATAAATCAAAATATAATGTGGAGTAATTTGTATTGAAAAATATTCACTCTATCATTTTAATATTTTTTTTTAAATACTCCCTTTGGGTTTTTACACTTTCAAATTAAATTAAACATGGGGTATTGCTAAGGTTATGAAAAGACCATTTTGCCCTCTGTCTATCTTTCACATCATCTCTTATCTCTCACAAGTTCAGAGTCAAAATTGACAAATTTTAAACACTAATTAAATAAAGTCCATACTCAGTATCAAATATTATTGATACAAAATAAGTTTTTAGATTATTTTAAAAATATTACTACGTATTTTATATAATTAATTATAATTCTTGTATAAATACTCCGTATCTTCAAATGCATAATCTCATTCAATCGGCCAATTTGACATGAAAACTATCAAAGAGAATCACAGAAGAAATCGAGAAAGATATATTACCCGAAGAGCGAGGCGGCGGAAAGCCTTTTTGACCTCGGATTCGGAGGCGCCATGGCGGATCTTGAGAGTGTTGTAAGGATCGCTCGCAGAAGACGACGATGAAGAAGATCCGACGCACGAGACTCTGGATCCGCGCGAGCTCTTCGATCGGAGACCCGACCCGTAAGCGCCCATCGCTCCCACTGCAGCAGCCATTGCAGAAGCTTCTTCGAATTTCGATCTCTTTGGTTTGATTTTGGGGAATCGGAGCTCGGATTGATTCGATCGGATTAGTAGAGTGGATATGGATGAGGAAGAAGAAGAAGAAGACGGAATATATATATATATATAGGGAAGTGGGGAGGTGGATTTTTGTGGCGTTGCTCCGCCGTAGAAGGCGCGAGCTTATCCGGATGAATCATTGACGTGTCGATTTTCATCCTCGGGTTTCGGATCTTATCCGGATATGGATAATTTCATAATTCTCGGCTTTACACCATTGGGTATTTAATCCTATGTTTTCTATTTTGATTACAAAATGAGAATTACAAGTTAAAGTTTCATAATTTTTAAAATTATTTTATTCTTTCTAACCTAAAACGTTTGTCACATTTGCTTTTTTCACAGTCACGTAAACTTTATTTATTTCAATGTTTTCATTTGATAAAATAAAATATTCTTGACACCTCTTATTTTGAAAAAAATTTCATGTAGTTTTTAAATATGTACTACCTCCGTCTCAGAGTATTTGTCCACTTTCATTTTTACACATCATCCAATACACTTCTTTAATCCATTTTATCTTGTAATTTGTATATTAAAAAATTATAGAAATTATATATTAATAATCTATATGTTAAGACAAATCAAACAAGATCACACATGACTATATTTAGGCTTACACATTGAGAGAATTCGATGCGTCAAAGTGCTTAGATTAACAGTTCCAAAAGTAAAAAATAGACGAATATAGCGGGACGAAGGTAGTAAATTTTATTTTTTATTTTAATCAATATTTAAATAAAATCAATTGAAAAAATTTTCTATTTCACCTTAGTTTTGAAATGTGGTAAACATTTAGGGACGGAGTAAGTATTTACAAATAGGTATGTCAATAAGAAATAAAAACTATACTTTAAAAAACTACATCAAGAGTTCTAAAAAATAAGAAGTGACGAAAATATTGTATTTTATCAAATAATCAATTGAAACACACAAATAAATAAAAGTTATCGAGAAGAAAAAAAATAAAGTTGTAATCAAAACAAAAACGTAAGGAGTATATGTTATTGCTAGAAGATCGAGACGAGCTTATCAAAGAGAAGAGACTTTTTGAAGCCCAATTCAAAGAGGCCCAAAAGAGAATGGAACGCCATCCACTAGCCCATGAAGCTATTAGAAGTTAGGGTCCTGCTAGGCTTCCCAGCTCGGCATGTCCGCTCAGAGCTCATGCTCGGCCTCAAGGAATAGAGCTCCGCTCAAAATAAATTTAAAAAATTACTCCATATATCTTTTTTGAAATTATTTTATTTTTAAATTGGTATAAAAATAAAAAAGTTTAAATTATATATTTAAAAGTGTACCAATAATGTTAAGTATAAAATAAAATTTCAAAAAATAATTTATTTTAAAAAATAATTAATGAAAATACACAAATAAATAAATGTTGTCATAAGGACAAGCACGTCTCTTTGTTTGCTAATTGGCAAATGGAAATGGAAAAATTGGGGCAATAGTATACCCTTGCCAATGGGTGAACAAGAGGGAAGATGTGGGATGACTAAGTACTATAAGCATGTTCAACAGAGCAATGTAACTCTTTGATGTAATGATATGACATCAAGGTTTTTTTGGATATTAAATGTTGCTAAGGTCATTGGATTTTTTGGACATCTCAATAGTTTGAGGATGATGTCGTACATTGATAAGGTCACTGCCAAGGTGGTTTGATGATGAGGTCATCCATAGATGAGATCATCGTCAAGGTGATCTGAGCTGAGGATGGGTCGTCCATAGATAAAGTCAATGTCATGGTGGTTTGATGATGAGGTCGTCCATAGCGGATATCATCGATAAGGTGCTCACATGATGAGATCTTCCATAGATGACATCATCACCAAAGTGGTTTGATGAAAAGGTTATCCAATGACGTGGTTGCCCAATGTCGAGCTCATTTGATGAGGTAATTTGTCAAAGTCTGTGGATGTCCCGAAAATGACTAAGAAGATAAGGTCCATCCGATCCGACCATACTTCTCTAGGTTTGTGTGGTAAAGCGCGTAGCTTTAGACATGCTTATAGTACTTAGTCATCCATCATATATATATATATATGTGTGTGTGTGTGTGTGTGTGTGTGTGTGTTGACCATTGAGTTGACTTCTTGAGTCTAATGATTTCTAAGGCTGCATTGTTAGTATGAGATAATCATTCCACTCACCTTGTAGAACTTGTTAATGTTTGATCTCCTTTCGTAATTGTCGTCTAATCTTCATCAATTCATGCACACCATTCATTTTTTAGGACATCTTTGAAGGCAATTGCATTTCAAGTATAAGCTTGTGTCCATTCGCCATTCATGATTTTGTTATTACTTAATTGTAAATATATATAAAGAATAATGTAAGGTATTATCCTTAATATTGATACGATAAATGTATTTATATAACACTCAAATTTTAAAGTTTTAATATACTTGTATAGACATTATATATCAAATCCATTACAACTAGTCATAGTCTGATCTTAATCTAGTTCTCCGACAAAAATTACGCAGCCCAAGATAGGTATAGTCTAGCCCGTTAACCAAAAATCCAGGGCGAAATGAGATTACTTTCCCAAGACCGAACCAGTTTCAAGAACCACTTTGACATCGTCTCTTTCAGTCAAAGTCTCAATCTATCTTGATTTATTTTTCCAAGCTTATTAGTCCCTTTGTTCATATCTACTTAGTCTCATGCATTTGAATCTTGAGTCTCTTGCCCACATGGACAACTCAACTGGTCTCAGAGGTGGAATTTGGAACAAGAGACTAAGGATCGAGCCTCACCAACGGTACTATGGGAGCAACCTCTCAAAATATGAGGGGGGCTTCTTTTGCACAGTGAGCACTGGTTCAAGCATATGTTGTCGGTTGAGTCTCAATGATTTCTTTTTCACAATCACGTCGGCTAAGGGGTAAGAGTCGACCCGGGATGAGCGATTTTACATTTTGGAACGAGAGTCTTGAGTCTCTTGACCTATAGAGCTTAGCTCCACAGTGTCATCGAGTGACGTCTGGTCTGGGTACCGGAACCAGTACCGGCTAGTCCGGTCACGGTACCAGTACCAAGGGGTGGCGGTACTGGAACCGGCGATTCCGGAACCATAACCGTCCCGGAACCGTACCGTGTCCAACCCTAGTCTGGAAGCTAAACATCCCTATAGTTGATTTGTGTTGCCATGGTAACACCTAACTTGACGACTACCGTTCCGGTTTAATTTAATTGGGGCAGTCAAACTCCCCTTTAAATTCTTACGAAAACAATTTGCATATCCTCCATTTAATAGCTATTTAAGATTCTTTTATTCTTGCAAAAAAAAGCATAAATGATACCCCTCTTGTACCAAAACAATTTTTTATTTAGAATCACGATACAGTTACAAATCTAAATTATTTATTATCCAATTTATTCAAATATTAATTAGTACTCTGTATAATATTATTTTTATTTTTTTTTAAAAAATATATCAAAAATTTATAAAATAAGAGATGGCATTATTACATTATGACAAGTATTTATCAAATGATTAATAAAAATAGAGGAATTTATCTAAATAGCACTAAAACATAATGACTTTTCCTAAATAGCATTACATGTATTTTTTTCAGTATAGCACTTTTAATCATTATCCATTAGTTATTATTCAAGTAAATGTTCGTCATCACTGGTCATTATTTGTCATTCTAGACATTATTAAGTGCTATTTAGAGAATAAAACAATTTAAGTGCTATTTAAGGAAATGACTTAAGTTTTAGTAATATTTAGTGCAAAAATTTCAAATATCTATAAAAATGAGTGAACATAAATTGATCTTATTACTAATAGTAAACGAAAAATTAAAAAGAGCGCCACCCAAAATTTTAAAGGAAAAAGAACTTAGCAAAGAAAAAGTTGCATAAGAAATCATGGAGTATGATACGTAATTGCAAAAGTTTCAACCTTAATAATGCACGAGAAGAAAAATAATGTAAATTAAACTTTCAAAATGGGTGTTGAAATAGAGAAGTGGGGTTGGTGAATTGTCAATGGTCTTGTTGGAAATAGTTTTAAAGTTTAGTTTTAGTATTTTGAAAAAAAAACTCAAAAAAATATTTAATGCTACACTTCTTTCGTTCTAAATTATTCTTCTTATTTACTATTTGAATTAAATAATTCGATAACTCAAGATTGTATGCAGGTTTTCATTGATCATGTGATAAAATAAAATATATTTTTCACATCTTTATTTGTAGAGTTTGCATGTAATTTTGAATAATTAATTTATACATTTTATTTTTATACCAATAATTTGTAAGTAAAATGATTTAAAAAAGATTAAATTTGACACGTTTTTCAAAATGAAAAAAAATAATGTGATACAGAGTGGGTAGTCTTTACTTTCATTGTCTTTTAAATTTAATTTGCACCATTAAAAATATTCAAAAGCTGTTTTGTAATCATTCATTTCTTTTATTTTTACCTCCCTCTAGTAAAATGTTTTTCTTGTTTTTGGTGAACCTTATTATGATCTGCAATAGGGTTTCCAAAGAATTGTTTATTTATCGTCATTTTCAATGAATTGTTGAATAATAATGTACACACATCATATTTTTTTTTTTCCATTTATTAAGAATTTGTGTCCAATGAATTGTTGAACCTTGTTTTATACGTTGTGCTTGGTCTAAAAGTAAAATACAATACATTGTGTTGTTGATTGGGCATAACGTTTTAGGTCACCTTCTCACCAACTTTGTGCAATGAGGACAATCACTCTTTCTGCCATTTAGTCCTCACAAGTCACACTCACATAACCCATCCACCCTACTTTTGGTAAATTTTGTATAGACATGCCTAATAAAAAATAATAAAAAATGCTAGGGGTACACCATTTGGGGTACTCCATTTGTACCCCCTCCATCTCCACCACACAAAGCAAGAGAGAGAAACAAAATTAAAAATAAAAAAAATAAATGAAGGGCTAGGATGCATGGTGTACAAAATGGGGTACCCCAAATGGGGTACCCCTAGCATTCCTCAAAAATAATTAATTTAGGTATATCCTAAATTTGGGTACCGACCTTGTTTGTACACTAAATTTTCAGAGACACATATAAATATGTAATGTTTGTGCACGCGTATATGTGTGTGTCTGTAAAGATTTAGTGTGCAAATAAAATACCGTATGTTAATGTGCCTCTAGCATTGCCCAATCAAAAAAGGTGGAAGGCCCAGCTAACGTGTATGTATGAATACTCATTCTTCATGACCATCTAAGCTACCCGTATAGATATAGATGCCCATTCTAGAATGCATTTGAAGGAGCCTTTTTAATTTTTAGAACTTTGGTCCTATACGTCTAATTTTTTTCAATGAGCATACTCACTTTGTCCTGAGTTCATTTTCTATTGACTTTTTTTAGAAGCATGGTGTTGGTGATTTGTTGTTAATTATCCTTTACATTTGAATAATCAGATTAACTTAAGACTAAAAAAGAATTTTAGAAGACGTTAGAGCATGAGTAATGTGAAGTAATGGAATAAAATATCACATGCTGACGTGACAGATTTTGACCAATCAAAAACAATTCGGTCATACCGTGGCAATTAAGTGAGTGTAGCACTGTGACATGGAGTGGTAGATCATTATTTTTGTTAATGTTTATATTTTTTGACATAGTTTAATTATTAAAAAAATATTTCACTTATCTATTATCATAAAATGTTGACATTCATAATTGTCTCCAAATCTGTTTATTAATAATTAGGGCTAATAAATCCAAATTTGTCACATAATAGTTCAAAATAAAAGGTAATATATGTGTGTTTTAATTTTCAGTATATTCTCTATAGTTATTAACTCTATTACAATATAGTATCTGTTTAAACACACAATATATCTTATATTTAAAATATTTATATAACACATACAACCTTCGTATGTCCCAGAGTATTTGTATATCTTTGAAATTATTGAGTCAAAATTCAAAAACTTAGACGACCATTAATTTAATAAAGATTAAATTCAATAAATGATCTTTAATCACAAGTGATTTTTCATTTTAATCTTCAAGCCTAAGATACTTCATGAATGATCCTCAATTTCTGAAAACTACTACATATTAAAAAGTCCTTTATGTAATGTTTTAAAATTGAGAACTAAATATGGAAAACTAACTATATTATGGACCATTTATACAATTTACGCTTAAATAATATTGATACCCCGGAGTACTAGATATTGATACAAAAGCAATTATATTTGATCTATCTTGTAAAATATTATCAAAATATTATTTTAATTAATTACTATGTTATATAATTTTAATTTAATTATAGGTTAAAAATTGATTCTAGTTGGCTTCAAAAAGTATATACTAAACAAATTAAATACTTTAGGACGGATCAAAAAGCATTATACTCCCTCCATCCCTTATTAATTATCTAGTTTTGACTTTTAGCAATCAATTTGGAATGACCTTTGACTTCTAATTTAATAAAAATTATATGGTACTGTATATTAAATAGAGAAAATAATATTTAGAGAATATTTTAAAATATATAAATTTAATAAATTATTAATTTATCAATATCTAATAAAAGTTTAATTTAATTAATGGTGAAAGTTTATTAATTTTTTATGGAAAAAAAGTAAAAAATAGATATGTAGTCACACTATAGTAACTTACCCGATAGGTTTACTGGTCATGCGTTCTGAAGGGGCAGAAGACCGCCAGCATGAAGTCACGTACTCTGACTGGTAAGTCTACATTTTGTACCAGTCGGCTTTTCGAAACCAATTGGTCGTCTATATTTTCGTTTAAATCTTCCATTCTGATATACATGCATCTGTCCGGTCAAGTGTTGTGGGCCCAGATTCGGACCGGGTCCCGGGTGGAATACACCCATCAATATCATTATTGGAAAACTATAGTAAATAAAAGTAGAAAAATTTGCTCTATATAGGACTTAGACCTGGCAAAAAATGACCTGACCTCTTTTTTACCTGAAACCCGACCTGAAAACATTGAATTTTAAACAAAGGTTTTGATGACCGAACCCGAAGTTGAGCGAACCTGAAAACCTGCTAAAAATGGGTCAAATCTGACCGAACTCGAACCCGACCTAACCGACTCGCTAAAGTAAGAGTTTTTCAAAATCATACACTTTACTACTCGTTTTTAGTGTATAAATTTAAATTTTAAAACAAAATTTTTAATGATATTGCATAATTATCTTATTTTTTTTTAAAACATAAGCATTTTTTAAATTCTTTATATTGATTTATATATCTAAAAAGTACTTCGTTCAAAATTTAAAATAAAATAATCTAATAGATTTAATGCATATTTTTTGATATTTCAAAATTATTTAAATCAAAATGTATGTGTTAATGTGAATTTATAAATTTAAAAAACTAAAGTCATAACCTGTTGGGTCGACATGAACCCGAAGACACTGGGTCAGGAACATACAGTTCTCACCCCGAAGCCGAATTGACCTGAACCTGAAATAACCTAAACTCGAAGTGACCAAACCCGAACCCGACCTGACCGACCGATTTGCGAGCTCTAATAGAACTAAAAGGTGATGCATTTTCCTAAATAGGACGAGATATGGTTTATTTCATTTATGGCACATATTTCCACATGATCTACCATATATGCTCTCATTATCAACAAGTGTTGAATAATTACTGATTATACGAATGACTCTATGAATTTGGTCATTAGTAATAAGTGCTAGATAATGACTGATTATTTTAATAACTATTCAAATTGTTTTTAATAATGTCTTATTCTACTTGAATTGTGCAATATGTCATTTTTCCAAAAGTAAAACATTTTAGAAATTTCCGTTATCAAACATTAAAACAAATAGGACCCGTCCAATTTACAGAAAAGTAATATATTTAAGTCTCATTTAAGTACATTTCTGATAAAAGTATTATTTTTGCCTAATGTCAAAAGTTTATAATGCATTGAGTATATGGTTATGAGTTATGACACTATGATTTAGTTGTCATGGGATAATATTGACGAGAAATTTATGTAAATAGCACTAAAAGATAATAACTTTCCCTAAATAGTACTACATGTGTTTTTTTCCCAATGTAGCACTTTTAGTCATTATACATTAGTCATTATTCAAATAAATCTTTGCCATCACTGGTCATTATGGATATTATTAAGGCCCTGTTTGGCATTAGAGATTAGCGTTAGCGTTTTGAAAAAGCTATCCGACGGTAGCCTTTAGCGTTTTCAGAATTATTCTACACCATTAAAATTTTATCTAAAACGCTAACGCTAATCGAAAACGCTGTTACCAAACAAAGCCTAAGTGTTATTTAGGAAACAAAACAACTTAAGTGCTATTTAAAAAAATGATTAAGTTTTAATGTTATTTAGTGCAAATATTTCTAATATTGACTTGGTTGCCATTTGGTTATTTGTCATCATCATCTCACACACACACACACACACATATATATATATATATATTGGCCGGTAGTAGGTGAGGTGAACATTTTACCTTTCTCTCTATATATTCCTCACCGGACTTCTCTATATATCAAAACTCCATCTCTATTTCTATTCTCTTTTCCGGCCTCCTAAAAAAAGACCCCAAAAAATTATTTATATATATGAAGATAAACGTGAAGGAGTCAACGTTGGTGGGGCCGGCGGAGGAGACGCCGCGGCGGAGCCTGTGGAACTCCAACGTCGACCTGGTCGTCCCCAACTTCCACACCCCCAGCGTCTACTTTTACCGCCGGCCTCCCGCCGCCGCCGACTTCTTCGACGCCGGGAGGCTCCGGGCCGCGCTCGCCCGGGCCCTGGTGCCGTTCTACCCCATGGCGGGGCGGCTCAAGAGGGACGAAGACGGCCGCGTCGAGATCGACTGCAACGGCGCCGGAGTTCTGCTCGTCGTGGCGGAGTCTGACGGGGCCGTGGAAGACTACGGGGATTTTGCCCCGACGCTGGAGCTCCGGCGGCTGATCCCGGCGGTCGATTACTCTCAGGGGATCTCGTCTTACCCTCTCCTCGTCTTGCAGGTACGTGTTTGGTAATACTTAATTACATGCATAGACCAAATCAATTTACCTATTCAATGTTTGGGAGTTAAAAAATATTCACTCCGTCCCAAAAAGATTGGTACATATAGACTTTTTGAGAAATTAAGGAAGAAATATTTTAGTATTGACTTTCCTAAAATACTCTTATGATAGGTAAAAGTAAGATGTGATTGGTAGATTATTAAGAAAAATGTATAATGTGATATGTAGGGTATGAAAAAGTAAGAAGTAAAAGTGAGTTTTTAATATAAATATAACGGACTTTATGAGACAGAGTTTTTTCGAAACGTGTCGGACATTTTGGGACGGAGGGAGTACAATATTTATCAGTCTCACCCTCTCATAAAACGGTTCTTATATTGCTTTTTTAAAATAATAAGAAGTCTATATTTATAATTGAATTTCCAATTTTATCTCTTAATCTGATAGGTAAAAGTAAGATGTGATGGATAAATTATTAAAAAAAAGGTGTGATACAGAAGTAATTTTATCAGATTTATTATATTAAATATTTTAAAAATATTATTTTATCCAATTAATATGCTATATATTTTTTTTAATTATAAGTCAAAAATTGAAAAAAATTGACTAATAAAAGTGGTCAAGTACTCAGGTACGAAATTATTACCTAATACGGAATATGATTATATGTCACCTTCAAATTACCATTAACCAATTTCTTTTTTTTCATTTGGGGGAAAAAAATTAGACCGGGGTCAAACTAAATTTTTTAAATGGCGGCAATGCGAACGGGCCAGTTGAAACCGCCAATGCGAACGGGTCAGTAAAAGTAAGCGCGTCAGATATATAGGATGTAGTGCTCGATCCATTCCAAAAAGAACTTGATTGGACTTATTTACAAGGAATCAATTATTGTACTCCGTAATCCGTATTTGGTAAAATTTAAAAAATAAAATTAAAAAAATAAATTTAATAAAATCATTTTTATATTCGGCGTATAATATAATTTTTATTTGATTTTTGATCAATGTTTGTAAGGCTTAGACTAAAAAAATCAAATTTGAGAAATGATTTGAGACAAAAGGAGAATTCGATGTACACTATTACTCCCTTACACAATTACGGAGTACTATTCTGGTCATCGCGCACCTTTATTTATTTTTGTGTTTTCAATCAACTGTTTTTAATTTTTGACTTATGATTAAATAAAATATATATTGTATATTATTTAGATAAAATAATATTTTGAAAATATTTAATATAAGAAGTCCAAAAAAATTATTTTTGTATGAATATCTAATATCAATTTTATTTAATTTAAAGTCAAAGTTTATCGATTGACCGAAAAAATCAAAGGTATACAAATATACAAGGACGAAGTGTTTGATAAGATAAATATTTTTGTCACCGCTTATTTTGTAGAACTGTTAATGTACTCCCTCCATCCCATAAAACCTTTCTCCTTTCTTTTTTATCCGTCCCACAAAACACTTCTCATTTCTATTAAAAAGTCACTTTTGCCCTTTACTTTTTCATACCCTACCTATCACATCATACCTTTTTACTAATAATATATCTATCAGATCATACTTTTACCCATCACATCAAAGGACATTTTTGGAAATTCAATACCAAAATACACTACCTTTAAATCACTTCTAAAAAGCAAAAGTCTCATGGTTCACCGGACGGAGGGAGGGAGTAATTTTTAAATAGGCAAGTCCTCTCAATTAGTTGGTGGTGGAGTAAAATACAATTGTTTTGATTTTTTTTGTAAGGTTGGTGAAGACAATAGAACCTAAGAAACGTCAAATATACTCCGAATTAAAAATTTAATTTCTCGTGAAAAAGTTGTCCACTTTGTTGAAATAAAGTGTAGAAATTATAAAGTAGAGAGCAACTTCTTTGTTACGGTTTTACCTGTCCACTTTGGTCAAATATTCCGAATTATGGTAAGTACACTTTATTTATTTACCCGAGTACTAAGTATGTTAGGAGGTAGTACACTTACTAAAATACTCCTGTTCAAAATTAATTATTTTGTTTTCCTCCACGTAATTCACTTGATGTCAATACTCAAATGAGTAATTTCTCAAAGTATGATACTCCTTTCGTACCAAATAATTTTTCTATTTTCTTTTTTTCACCTGAGTCAAAAACTTTTCTCATTTCTATTGAAAAGTTACTTTTATTTTTACTATGTTTTAACTTACCTATCATATCACACCTTTTGACTATTAATTTACCCATCACATCTTATTTTTTACTCATAACATTCAAGGATATAATTGGAAAGTCAAAACTATAATACACTCTTTTTAAATAATTTAAAAGTCAAAACCATAAAAGTGTTGTGTAACGTAGGGAGTATTACTTTTATTTGTTTTTTCTCTCCAGCTAACGTAAAAAAAAAACAGGTTACACATTTCAAATGCGGTGGAGTGTCCTTAGGTGTGGGAATGCAACACCACGTGGCAGACGGAGCTTCGGGCCTCCACTTCATCAACACATGGTCTGACATGGCCCGTGGCTTGGACATGACCCTCCCGCCATTCATAGACCGGACGGTCCTCAAGTCACGGGACCCACCTCGACCTGAGTTCCACCACATCGAGTACCAACCGCCACCCACCCTAAACACGTCATTCGAAAATAAAAATGTCGTCTCTGAAACAGTTGTGTCCATATTCAAGCTAACTAAAGACCAGATCAGTGCACTCAAAGCCAACTCAATAGAAGACGCAAACGAAATCGCTTATAGTTCTTACGAAATGCTATCGGGCCACGTCTGGCGTTGCGTCTGCAAGGCCCGTGGCCTTGACAAGGGTCAAGAGACCAAATTGTACATTGCGACAGACGGAAGGACAAGGCTGAGGCCGCCCCTCCCGTCTGGCTATTTCGGTAACGTGATATTCACGGCCACTCCTATAGCCACGTCTGGTGATCTCGAGACAAAGCCCGCCTGGTTCGGTGCTAGAAAAATCCATGACGCGCTAGCCAGAATGGACGACCGCTACTTGAGGTCTGCTCTTGACTACCTGGAAATGCAACCCGACCTCAAGGCACTCGTCCGTGGGGCTCACACGTTCAAGTGTCCGAACCTTGGGATCACGAGCTGGGCCAGGCTCCCGATCCACGACGCGGATTTCGGGTGGGGAAGACCCATCTTTATGGGACCCGGCGGTATTGCGTACGAAGGGTTGAGCTTCATCCTCCCGAGTCCCACAAATGATGGGAGCTTATCAGTGGCTATTTCTTTGCAGATGGAACATATGAAGATTTTCAAGGAGTTATTGTACAATAATATTTGAAGAACCATGCATTTCTCTCCTTATCAAAGTTTGTTTTTATTTACTTTTTTGGACATTCACTATTTCTTAACATGTCTTTTTGTATGCAATCCAAGTGCACTTCTCCTCCTATTTAGGTTATTAGGTTCTCTTCACCAGATCTTAATAGTTCTGATCTGATTGGAGTATGTTTTGATCTGATCTGATTGAAGTCATATTTAAAGTTGTTTCCAGTCTGATCTGATCTGAACTCATTCAATAAAGAAAAGTAATAAGTAATAAGAGTAAGTTGAAAAGGACATTGTCTTAATAGATAAGCCACAAAAGGTTTTATATTGATATAAATATATATATTCGGCTAGGTTTCATTGACACCGGCTTTGATTAATACTAAGCATCACTGTGATTTTTGGGCACTTTCATTATTTTGTTTGTAAAATTGATGATTTTCTACCTCTTAATTCCAATATGTTGGCCCGGTCCAAACTGATCCTCCAACCCTTTCAATTTCATCATCGAAATTTTGTTGACTTTGTTTTAAAAAAATTGACTACAAAGTCAACAAATATTTAGGATGAAATTGAAGGGATTAGAAGTTGGGTCCGGGCCGGGTCAATGTAGAAAGATTTACGGGGGTTATAGGCTTATATAGTGGTAGAAACTACGGGAGTGGGTGTCATACATTGACACTCAAAATAAGTGTCAAGAGAATTCTTCCCATATAATTTTCATGTTTTCGAAAACATTACTCTCTCCGTCCTAAATTAAATCGCATGTCTCGATTTATGATGTTTGATTTGAGTTATTTTCAATCAATTTATTTTAGAATTGAGTTGGAATTAAAAAAAATAATAAATCTATATATGAATTACATCAAAGTTTTACCAACTAAGAGATGATTTTATTAAATCAGAAATCTAGAATAAGGAAAGCACACAAATTGGAATAGAAAACATATTTTTGAAATGGAGGTAGTATAGGATATAGCATAACATCATCATTCGGAGGCCACCAGGTTGCCCTCCACCGGAATCTCCAGTTCGCCACCGCCGTTCTCTTCAACGCCGCCGGATGGTGGCGACCTTGCATGATATGGATGGGATGGTCTATCTGCATTAGGAGGCGGGGGCGATTTTGCCCCTCGCCCATATTTATTTGTACCTGGAGACTGAGCCACCGGCGTTGCATGATGATGTGGCGGCGACGACGATATTGTGGGCTTTCGTTCATATTAAATTGCATTTGAAAACAGAGTCAGTGGCGGCGTTACATGATGCTGTGGCGGCGGTGGAGATGCTTTCTCCCGACGTTCATAACCGACGGTAGGCGCAGGATGGCTTGGTCTGTCTGACTTCGGAGGCGGCGGTGGCGATGTCGGCTTTCGTTCATAATGAATTGCATTTGAAAACAGAACCGGTGGCGGCGTTATATGACGCCGTGGCGATGGCGGTGGCCGTATTGCCCGCGGTCCTCCGTATTCAATTGCATTTGGAGATAGCGGAGGGGGCGGCGTTAATCCACCGGCGGGCGGGGGCAGGTTGTCGTCGGAGTAGAAGGTCGTCGTCATCTCATACAATAATGTGGTTTTCTTCTTTTCCTCGTCTTTCTCTAAAAATAAATTGCAAAAAAAAAAGTGAAATTTGCACTAAATAGGACTAAAACATAATGATTTTCCTAATGTAGGACTTAAACTTTTTTATTCCCTAAATAGGACTTAATAATGACCTAGTGGAAGGAATAATGTCTAGTAATGATGGTTATTTAGTTGAATAATGACTACTTGATAATGACCAAAGGTCCTACATTGGGAAATAAAAACATATGGTCCTATATTGGGAAAGTCATTATGTTTTAGTCCTATTTAGGTAAATTTCTCAAAAAGAAAACCACACTTAATTACTTATTTGACTTTTCTAATTGAATTAACCTAGGTACACTAACATGGGTACTCCATATGTACACTAAGCTAACACAGACATACATAGACACAAAATGTCTGTGCAGCACAAACATTTTGTGTCTGTGTGGTGTACAAATACGGTACTCCATATTGGTGTACCCCAAACATTGCCCTAACATTGCCCTTTCTTATTAGAGTAACACTAGTATCACACCCGTGCGTTGCACGGGTCATAGTTACGTACTAACTTAAGATCATTTTTAAGAATATAAATTGTTATATAATGGAATATAGAGATTTCAGTATTTTAAAATACAAAGGTAAAATGATTTACAAATTTCGAAAGACTTCTTTATAAACTACATCACTCGTATGTATAATTTATGTGAGCATTCACTTCGTTGTATATCAAAATCTTCAATCCATTGCGATTTATTACTCTTTAAACTGCAACTTACACTTTCTCATGACTAAATACCAGTTTCCGTAACAATAATTCAATATGTTTCAGATATTGTTCTTGATAATAATTTAAGAATTTGACTTATCTAAGTAATAATTCAACATATTAATGTATTTATTTTGGAATTTGTATTTTTTAATTTTATTTTCGTATTTAAGTGGTACCATTAACTTACCCTATGGTATTTATTTTCTATTTTATTTTAGATCACTTACCATTTATACACGTATCTATGCTTGTAAATTATAGTATTAATAGTATTTATTTTAGAATACTTATACCATTGTTACATGTTTCCATGCTTATAATATTAATAGTATTAATTTATAATTTTTTAATTTTTGCATTTAAATGGTACCATTTACTTAATGTACCATATTTATTTTTTAATTTATTTTATAACACTTACCATTTTTACACGTTACCATGCTTGTAAATTGTAGTATTAATTGATAGAATTATTTTGTAGTTTTCTATATTTTTTTTTATATAAATGGTATCATTTACTTACCGTAATGTATTTATTTTCTAATATATTTTAGAATACTCATCGTTTTAATAATTATTTTATTTTCTAATTTATTTAGAAACTTACCTAAATTATTTTAGAACACTTACCATTTATTTTATTTTGTGTTTAAATGGTACCATTTGCTTATCGTGGTGACATACCATTCCGTATTTATTTTCTAATTTTCTAATTTGAACACTTACCTTTTTAAAAAAATCATGTTTTTAAAGTATAGTATTAATATTAATTTTGCAGTTTTTTAATTTATTTTCGTATTTAAATCGTACTAATTACTTACCAAACCACATTGTTTTCTAATTTATTTTAGAACATTTATCATTTTTAGATGTACTCTCTCTGTCCCTAAATAGATTTAAAAAATTTTCTTTCCTCTCGATAACTTTTGTTTGTTTACACGATTTCATTAAGTATTTGATAAAATAAAATATTCTTATCACTTCTTGTTTTGTAGAACTTTTGACGTAGTTGTTTAATATGTAACTTTTATATCTTATTGATATATCAATTTGTAAATAAAATGATTTTAAAAAGTAAGAAATTTTACTCCGTAAACCGGAATTTGTAATGAAATTGGGGAATGAGGGAGTATTTTATTTTCTCTTTTATTTTAGAACACTGACCTAATTTATTTTAGAAAACTTACCATTTATTTTATTTTCGTTTTTAAATGGTGCTAATTGCTTACCATACCATATCTATTTATTTTCTATTTTTCTAATTAGAACATTTGTCATTTTTAAAACGTTTCCATTCTTTTAAATTATAGTATTAATATTAATTTGTAGTTTTTTATTTTATTCTTTTATTTAAATGGTATCATCTACTTACCGTACCATATTTATTTTTAATCTATTTTAGAAAACTTACCATTTTTACGCGTTTGTGCTTGTAAATTATAATATTTTTTAATGATAAATAATTAATTTGTAGTTTGTTTGAAATAAATCATTTTAATTTTCCCATACTATATTAATTTGTAATTTTTAAATTTTATTTTAATATTTAAATGCCAGTGTATTTTATTTCCATACTTCAATTCCCCAATGGTTCACTACTATTTAATTTAATTTAATTTAAATGCTTAAATGGTGTAACATTTAAATAAAAATAAAAATAAAAACATACTTAAAATGGAAGGAAAACATTAAGGTAAAATAATTTAACTACCATTTATGTTGTCAACACTTTCCATATATGAGTGTCATGCATGGGCGGGAAAAAATTCATGTCTTTTTAAATAATGTATAGATTATTCGGGAATGACTTTGTTTATTCTATCATGTCTCTCCACCATAAATTATATCGTAAAACCCAATCTAATGTTTATAATAACAAACTTGTAATTAAAAAATGTTTTAAAATGAATACGTACTTTAATGTTGTTTCACAATGAATACTACGTGGTTTTGGGACACTACATTATTTGAGAATGAACACTACATTATATGAGAATGAACACTACGTTATTTTTAATTATTACATATAATATCTTTTTGAAATAAAAGATGTAATTTTAATAATAATGGACATTTATTAACATTTATATAAATATTTCTTCTTGAAAAGTAATAAAAGGAAATAATAGAGAATAATTTTAAAATTTATATATATAAAGTTTTTTAAACTAAAAGTTATATGACCTTTTTTTTAAATAATAAAATAACCGTGTAGATTTACAAAATGGTGAAATGCGTATTGGTATAGTACTTAAAAAAGAGAAGGTTTTATACAAAATCAATGGTCATTCAATTTATTAACAATGAAAGTTACGGAGTACTTTTATTAAATAAAAAACAAAACAAGAGATGCCAAAATCATAAAATAAAAAGTAAATTCTATATAATTTATTTTAAAAAGCAATGGAATGAAATAAATGATGAATAGTTTTAAATATTTATGCATAATGTTGTTTTTAAATTAATAAAGTTTACTTCACTTTTTTAAATGAAAAAAATAAGAATGCATCGAGAGTCTATTTAGTTGATGAGTTTATTTAGTCTTTTACCTTGCAATGTTCTTGCTTGAGATGCTAAAGAAGCAATGAAGAAGATGAGAAAGAAAGTTTGGAGTTTCAGGATGCCCTTCATTATGCCTTTTTTTATTTTACTTTTTTGCAAGGGTAAGGGTGCAAAATTACTAAATTTATAAATCCAAGAAAGGAGACATAAGGTGAAGGGGTGAATGGGGTTATTTGTGGACTTTAAGAGGAGATTAACATGAGTTATCCCTTGATTGATCAAAGTGAAAATGATACTTTCTTTGGGCAATAAGTGAAAATGAGACTTTTGACTCACCAATTATAGGAAAATCTTGATTCACCAATCATTTTTCATTTTTATATAAAAATGAAAATTAATCTCTAATAAGTTGACATGTGACATTGTTTATGCCATGCGACAGTTTTTTATACTTATTACTATTTTATCCGTCCGGAAACGTTCTTCCCATTTTACTTTTCACGGTCTCCAATAAGGTAGCATTTTGATCATTACTATCTATATTTATACATAGATATATTTTTTAAAAATTTGATATTTCAAAACTATGTTTCATTATGAATATATTGATATTATATTTATATCATAATACAATACTCCCTCCGTCCTGGAGTATTTGTCCACTCTTGACTTTTTTCGTTCAAAATTGGTAAACTTTGACCCTAAATTAAATAAAAATAGTACTTCCTCCGTCCCAAAAAGTCCGACACGTTTTAAAAAAACTGTGTCCCGTAAAGTCCGTTACATTTCTATTAAAAAACCACTTTTACCCCTTACTTTTTCATACCCTACCTATCACATCATACCTTTTTCCTAATAATCTACCCATCACATCCTACTTTTATCCATCATCAAGGGTATTTTTGAAAAGTCAACACCAAAATATCCTTCCCTTAATTTTCCAAAAAGTCAATATGTACCAATCTTTTTGGGACGGAGGGAGTATTAGATATTAATACAAAAATAGATTTGTTAGATTCATTATATAAAATATTTTCAAAATATTATTTTATATAATTAATATATATACAATATATATTTTATTTAATTTCAAGTCAAATATTAAAAAATTATTAATTGAAAAAAGTCAAAACTGGATAAATACTCTGAGACAGAGGTAGTATATTTTTTTCCATAAAGTAGAGTTAAAGTTTTTAAATTTTAACCAAATGTGAATAACATTTCAGGACGGAGGCGGGCGTATGTCACATGATTACTCTACTTATACGTGTGACATTTTAACTCGTGGCTTATTTCAATTGATACCATCCCGCCATACGGGCACCAGTCACATCTATCCCTCTCGTTGCTTGCTCCATGTTGTTTGCCTCCCTCTCTACCTTGCTGCCCAGCGTGAGTAACCACACATGCTAGGCCTTCGACGCTAGCACTATTAGGTCGGGACTAACGGGGTGCGACCTTTTGGCGATGCAACCTGGTTAGACAAATGGTTACATAGGTCACCATCCACTGGGCGGCTGAGACTTGAGAGTGTGCTTGATGCATCAGGCGTCTTTTAGGCGACACAGATTCCTTATGCAAGCTAATCTGTTCAACTTCTTTGCCATGCTTATTGGTAGTTGCCACGACTGGTACGACGTCGTGTGCAATAGAAGTCGATCTCCTCGTGTATCTGATCATTTTCTTGAGATTTTGGGTAGGCCGAAGTCTTGATGCTTTCAACCCTCTCAACGAAAGCACCAATTGATCGATGGACGTACTATAGACTATGGGATAGTAAAATAGTAGAAAATTTAGTGTATTAGGTGTGCAATGCTAGCTTAGAAACTGATCCCCTCAAATGAGGAAGAAGGGGCCTAATTATACATGTTACATACTCGGCCAGACACTTGTTTCACTCGAGTCGAAGTCCATGGAACTTTTTATTGCATTTGTCTCTATCTCTATGATACATCATTCTCTCATGACGCCACTCTATTGACCGTAGAGGTTTACAAGTTCGTAGGAGTAGACTTTAACGGCGTGTCCTCTACGGATCGTGTTAGTTCAAACTTTGTGGTGGACAACATCGGGCCCCAGTGGCGGATCCAGAAAATTTTTTCGCTGGGGGCATAAAGTAAATTAAAGTGAAAAAAATAAAATTTAAAAATAAGAGACAATTAAATAGATAAAACATACTTCTTGTCATTAAAATTAAATTAAGGAAAAATTACCCAAAATAATCCCAACTTTATCCGGTCTTTCAAAAATAATCCCACCTTTTACTGTGATGCATAATAATCCCAACTTTATTGAAATCTGCCAGTTTTGGGTCGCCGTTAAGTTTCTAACGGAGGGTTAACGGAAATGCCCGTTTTAGGCAACAAAATGAAAGTTGGGATTATTTTTAATGAATTTTTGTTTTTTAATTTTTTTTTGAAATTTTTATTTAAATTTTTTGAATTACTTTCAACCTCCATTTCTTTTTCTTTTTTAAAGATTATTCTTACCTTAGAAAAAAATAGATATAAAAAATAATGAAAATGAGAAAAATAACTAAAATCATACAAAATTAATCAAATAAATAATGTAATCAATATAAATTAAACAGAAACTGGTAAGAAATAAAATAAATATATACAGAGTGGTGAGTTTTAACATTTCACACGCTATACGGAGTCTTAATGTACTACTTATTTTTTAAAAGAACAAGCCTTCCGGTAAAGTTGGAATTATTGTAGATAATTTTTTCTAAAAAATAAGAAGTGATATGTTAATACTTTGTATAATGCGTAAAATATTAAAACCCACCCGTATATTTTTATTTTACTTTTACCAATTTCAAGTTAGTTTCCATTGATTACGTTATTTATTTTATTATTTTTGTATCATTTTAGTTACATTTCTCATTTTTTCATTTTTATATCTATTATTTTTATTTTTTAAACTAAGACTAATCTTTAAAAAAGGAAAAAGAAATGATGATGGAGGTAGAAAGTAATTTAAAAAAATTAAATGAAAAATTTAAAAAAAATAAAAAAAAAATGAAAATTCATAAAAAATAATCCCAACTTTCATTTTGTTGCCTAAAACGGGCATTTCCATTAACCCTCCGTTAGAAACTTAACGGCGATCCAAAATTGGCAAATTTCAGTAAAATTGGGATTATTATGCATCACAATGAAAGGTTGGATTATTTTTGAAAGACCGGGTAAAGTTGGGATTATTTTGGATAATTATTCCTTAAATTAAAAAACAAGGTACAATTAAATAGATAGAACATACCCTTTACAATTGTCCTCTTCGAATTTTCATCTTTTGAAAGCGATCAATTATATCTTCATTTGTAACATTTAAAAAGGCTTCCTTTTCCACAGCACAAATCACACAAGCATTCAAAAACTCATCCCCCATTCGGTTCCGTAAATCCGACTTCACATGTTTCATTGCTGAAAAACATCTCTCAACGGTTGCTGTAGCGACAGGTAAAACCAAGGCAAGCTTCAATAAGCGATACACCAAAGGAAATGTAAAATTTTTCCTTGTACTTACCATCACTTTAGCAAGCTCAACTAAACCACTCAAGTTACCAAATCTTTCATCTTTTTGCACATTGTGAATATAAAGGTCAAGCTCATTCTCAAGACTCATCCTGTCACCATTACTAAATACATTTCAGTCATCCTCAATATTTTAGATTTGTCAAAATCACAGAACGAGTTACGTTGATTCAAAGAAGCAATGCAGATAAGCAATTCGGAGCTCACTTCATTAAAGCGGTCATCAAACTCATTATTCACCAAATCCAAAACTTGGTTGCAACAAAGACCCTCAAAATATTGTCGATTTGTGAAACCAGTCTTTTGTCTTTGACTTTTCGGATTAACATAATCCTCTTTCAGGTCCAATACCTGAATATTATATTTAGCACAAAAAGTTGATATCTTCACCAAGAGAGAATCAAACCATTCTGACGTTCTAAACATCTTCAATTGATATTTTGTTGATTCTAGTAAAGACATCGCATTCAAGATATCCTGATCTTTCCTTTGAAGAGCTTGTGATAATAAATCTGTAACTCCTAAAATGCTAAGCATTAAATGCAAGTAGAGCACAAATTCAAATGATTTAAAATAAACTTGAAGACCAATTGCTTGTGTCTTACTAGCCCTCTTGTCTGCTTCATTCCAACTATTAAAACCTTCAACAATAAATGCATCACTCCCACCTTGTCTTCCAAATTGATCTCTAAAAAGGTAACAATACAAACAATAGGCTTTGTCTGTTTTCACACTGTATTCTAACCAATTACGATATTTATCAAACCAATCTTCAATAAAATGCCTTGGACTGTTCCCAATCATTCTGCGTGGAAAATCATGGCCACGCGGTTGACATGGTCTTCTAATCAAATATTTTCTTCTTATTTAATCTCTTTGATTAGGGTGATACTCTAAAATCTTTTTTCTGTCATCCCACGGAAGATCACTTAAATCTATTTCTTTAGCTATTGAAGGTACAGATGGTCCAGAATCACGTGTTGTCGGTGTTGAGGGGGACTTCCGTTTAAAAAACTTCTCCATTATCTAAAAACATAAAATGAAATATACTTTTTTACTAAATCTATGTCCAAAAATTAGAGAAAATTATTTAAATATATCAATTGAGAATTAATATATTTTTAGAGACTAGAGTCATCAATTCATTATTCATATGCTATGGGACAATTATAAATTATAATTAATAATAATCAACAATTCAACATAATAAACAATTTCATCAAATAAAAAATTGAAATATAAAAACAAATTACTCAAAAGGTTTCACATCAATCACACATTACACATAAATCTAATTTTCACATTTATCTAATTATTTAGTTCATAATTTAAAAAGGAAACAAAATTATTTGGAAATACCTGGTGGCTGGTGCTCCACTGTTCGGTGCTGCTCGGCGGCGACGCGGCGGACGGGCGACGGCGACGCAGCGGAAAGTTCAGGCTGTTCGGCAGATTCGGTCTTCTGGGTTTCTTCTCGGCTCCTCTTCTGGATACGACAAAAGCAAAGGGATTAGGGGAGGGGAAATTATATTTAATTTTTAGGAATTGGACAATGGGTGATTGGGCCACTTTTTGGATTGGGTCAGGCTATTTAATTGTTTGGGCCAAATTGGCTGGGGGCAGATTTTGTTTTATTGGGGGCAATTAAATTTAATCATTAAAAATATACATATATATATTATAAAAAAAATTTCACTGGGGGCAGCTGCCCCATATTCCCCTTGCTGGATCCGCCCATGTCGGGCCCCATGTTATGGGTTTTTTTGGGGTCTGGTCGAGCGTGCCCTCAGGTTGAGCATCTCGTCTTCCTGTTATGCCTCTTACTTCATATGGCCGAGCCCATCAGATATGGGCCAAGGTTCATCAGCCCATATCTCTATAAGTTTATAGAAATTTAGTAAATTTAAATTATTTATATTTGACGTTTAAATGATATGTCTCATAAAACTCAAGAGATTTAATTTCAATATTTAACATTATAGAATCACAAACGGTTTTGTCTCATCTTGTGCAAGCCACAAGTTAAAATACTTGTTATATGAAAATATTTACTCAAATTATGTTAAAGTAAAATACTATTTAGGTCTCTTTTATGTCTTTTGTCGTCGTAATTCTCCATTAATATGATACTATCTGTTTCGAATCGGGTTTTCACGCATTTATTATTTAACACCTTTCAAAATATCTTATGCAAGAATCGTCAAGAAATGATTCGACTTATTTTCAACTTGAAATCTCACTTGGTCAAAAAATACTGGGATTTGAATAGATATTTTACTGACTAAACCCCAAGATAATCGAACTAGATATAATGTAACCCGCTAAAAATGAGTCAAATTCGACAGAATCTGACCTAATCGACTAGTTAAAGTTGGAATTTTACAAAATACATACTTTAATATGAAATACAATACGATAAAAGTAATGGTAATTGGTATAATGTTAATTTACTTATTACTATCTTTTTTTTAATGTTTTTCAAATGCCTTCTTCATAATATCGCGTTGTATCTTATTTTTCAAAAATTATACATACTCGGTATTTTAAAATTTTATATTACTCGGGTATTGTTTATAATATTGTTATAGATCTAGAAATACTTAAAATTATACGTGCGTAAAATAAATATTTGTAATATACTTTAATATACAAATCTTGACTTGTATATCTGTCAATATAAATATATCTTTTGACTCAACAAATGTATATGAGTAGTAAAACATAAAAAAGTATTAAAATAGAATTTCAATGTATTTAACCCTAAAATATGACTACTGTTCTATGACAAATTGGCATTGTATTTCACATTGATTTTTGATATCATATTTTGATATTACTGTCATTATAACATCTATATTGGGATAAAAATATTGAGCACATATTTTTTACATGTTTTAATTATATTTAATGTTTCTCAAAAAAACTTTATCGGTTTATTATAGTCTCTCCGTCCTAAAATGTTTTTCATGTTTCTATTTACGAGGTCTGACTGACTTTTTTTAAATTCAATTTATTTGATTGTAGGTGTAAAATTAAAAAAAAATTATATATTTAAAAACTACATCAAAAGTTATACAAAACAAGTGATGATAAAACTCTATTATTTTATCAAATAACTAATAAAAAAGGTAAAAAAAAGTAATTAAAATTTGACTGTGTGAATAATAACTGATAAGAATATTTTAGAAACAGAAAAATATTAAAAAAAGAAGGGAAAGTTTGAGGAATTATTAAAGTAATTTGAGAAAAATTAAAAAGAAAAATGATGTAAACTTAAAAATAAGAGAAATCAGGAAAAGCTATAGAAATACTCCCTCCGTCCCCAATTTACTTACAAATTGGGGTTTACGAGGAGAAATATCTCACTTTTTGAAATAATTTTATTTACAAATCGGTATATCGATAAGAAATAAAAATTACATACTGTGTACTAAAAAACTACGCCAAAAGTTCTACAAAACAAGAGGTGACAAAAATATTTTATTTTATTAAATATTTAATGAAATCACGTAAACAAACAAAAGTTATTTAGAGGAAAGAGAAAAAAAATTGTAATCAAATTGTAAACGGAGAAAGTATGTAGAGATACTATTTTAACCTCATTGAAACGATGTCGTTCCCTTTACCAAAAAAATTACTACAACGATTATACGGAAGAAGTAGACCGAAGGCGCCATCCCCGCCACCAGCGTCGACGCCATCCCCCGCCGTAAACCGCTACCCCGAACTCCTACAATCTTTCTGCCGCCGGCTATTCCGCTCAACAAAGGCCAGAACCGCAGGGTTGCACAGCCCATCCAAAGCAAGTAATGCTCCGCAATTATCACTGCATATAATTGCTATGCATTTGATTAATTGTGAATTTCCTTTACGGATTTACTATATAATTGTTATTATTTGCATTTTATCTGCCATCTTGTTATGCATTTGATTAATTGTGAATTTCCTTTTACTATAGAATTGATTTATTTCATATTTTTTTAATTTGTAAAGCAGTAAAGTTCAAATTTGTAACTAGGTTTTCTTAAATTAGGAAATGCTCCATCCGTCACGAAATGAATTACCCATACACTATTCAGGCCTTTAAATTTTATTCATTTTATTTGCTTATTTTAACTACTCAACAAAAACAACCCAGTAGGTACCCAGTAGGTTCCCACGAGAGTAAGGTCAGGGAGGTGTGTACGTAGACCTTACTCCTACCAATTTTATTTGCTTATTTTAACTACTCATTTCATAATATAAAATAGTCATGTCACCTATTGTTTTGAAGAATTTTCATATATTTTTTAAATTTATAAATTTTATGTTTGAATTTTATGCCAACAATAAAAGAACTTGAATTAAAAATAAAGTCAGTCAAGCTTGTTAAACTGGAATGGGTAATACAAATTCAGACGGAGGGATTACCATGCAAAATAGTTTTTTAGAGTAGAACTAACTTTGGAGAATCAATTCTTGCACTGGATTACAAGATATACATAGAGGATAGTAGTAGTAGATGCCTCCCATTCTTATGAATCGAAATGATTTAATCTGAAAGATGCAAATTGGATCTAGCTCCAATATGCAAAATAGTGCCCAAAGGGTCATTCTTGATATAGGGTTTGGTGATCCTTTTTATACTCTTACTGTTATACTCTCAAATAAAAACATTGAAGAGAGATTGATGATTAATAAGACATTGAGTTGAACTAGATAATTGATTGCATTCAAGTTAAATATAGTTTGACCCAAGTGTCTTATCTCCTACTTGAGCAATGCATATGCAATCTAGATTTCTACTCGTATCACTTTCCAATATTGGCATATTTGCGCTGTACAGGTAGCTCTGATTCATCAGTTGCAATGGCTTGTGTTGAACAGACGTTCTCTACTATGGGAGTTAATCCAAAAGATGGGAAGGTTGCAACATTGTTTGTATCCCCGGCAAAAGCATTTCTTCTACATTTGATTTGTGGGCTAGGCTTAGCTTCAGCATTTTGGGTAGCACACAACATATTCTCCACCGACCTCATTTCAAGTCCTGCCCAAACGCTTTGTCTGATTTTGGTATCACCTCCAAAGTTCATACATTCTTACCTCTGTGGGCACACTCCTTTCAAAATTACTCCGTATTTTTTGTAGTTCTTTTCAGTACTTTTATTCATTTTGGTATGTTTCAGTTCAATTGAGCACTTCCCGTTTCAATTCAACACTTTTTAGACAACAATTTTAACTACATTAATCAACTTCCAACTAAGTTCTACACTTTTCAGTTCAGTCTAGAGTTGTTTAGCATCTTTTTAGTTCAATTCAGTAAATTATTGAATTATTGGTTTCACAGGTTTTTGAGTCTCCGGTAGTACTTCTACTTTATAGTCTCTTTCGACGAGATCCGGTTCAATGCTCTGTAAGCTGACTAGAACTAGCACTACATATTTTATTTTATTACTCCGTATAAATTTGTCTATCTGAAATAAATTGGAATTATTTCCATTTTGAAATCGGACAGTACTTCAAATCTCTGGGACGAGGTCTATTGGGTCTTCCAGCTGGTTAGTGTGAAAGTTTCTTCAAGTACTACCTTCTTCCTAGAATAATCTATCCATTTTGACTTCATGAAGATTAAGAAAAGTGTTAAAAAGATGTAGAAAAGTAGAAAGTGGGTGGTTAGAGTTTGTTTGGAAGAGAGTGAAGTATAATGCATCACATATTCTTTTTTAAAAAAAGAAAGAGAAAAAGTGAGCAAATTATTTTGAGAGGGATGAAAATAGGAAGTGGGCAAATTTTTCGGGGATGGAGGGAGTATTTTCCTAACCTCTATGTTATCTATATAAGGGTTACTTGTGTGCTGATTCAGTTGGCTTTATTTTTGTTGATGGGCCACTTTGGGAAATAATGTTAGAAGATAGCACTTTGTACTAGCAGATTTGAGACTAGATTTAATTGTTTTTTAAACAAATGCTTGTTAACTTAGTAATTTTTTTTAAAAAAATTAAAATGCTAATGCCATTTTCCTTTAAATTGAGCTTCTTTTAAGTATTTTGCAAATAGCATTTTCACCCGCATGTTACTAATTTACCAAACTTCTTAACGAGCACTTTGATCGGTCAAAATGCTTTCTTCCCCAAAATGCTAAAAAATAAGCGCATTGCTAACGAAGGCTTTTTTTACCAAACATGTTCGATGTGAAATGAAAGTAAGGCCTTGCAAGTTCAGCGCATGTTTAGCGTTGAGAGGGAACGTTTTCTTGTTTTGCAATCAAACTAGGAAAGTCCATTTCATTTTCTTGGAGATATTAAATTTCCTATTATAATGCTCTGGAGAACTCCTTGTACTCAGTGCACAAACAGCATTGTTCTGAAAGTTGATTATCACGTTGGAATCTGAAACTTGAGTTTCTTTTTTGTAGAAACTTCATTCTATTCATAATCATATTTATGTATAATTCTTTATCCAATAACTAACTCTGTTTTTAGTATCGCCCTTATGGTAATTCATATTTGTAGGAGCTGTTGTGATTGGAGTTGGGGCAATAGTTTTGGGAGCACCTGTTGGCTTTCAGTATGTGGCAATATCAATGCTTTATTATTAAGAGAAATTTACCTAAATAGAACCAAAACATGACTTTCTCAATGTAGAACCATATGAATGAAAATCAATGGCACTTAATCACTTAGCTTTCTGCACTTGTTGACTTAAACTTTGTAATTAACAAAATTTTCATCCTATGAACAGGTATTTCAGGCTGACTTTGCATTGGTCTCTTCTTATGTCAGTCTTCACTGTAAGTATTTTACACACACACACACATATGTATATTCACGCACTCAACTAAGATAGGCTTTTGATAGTTGGGCAGTTGGCCCAAGCAATACACAACTTCACACTTTGTTTGGTTGAGAAGAGAAATACTTCCTCCGTCACACAAAAAATTTCCTACTTCCCCTTTTTGGATGTCCCGAAAAAAACTTCCTACTAATGTTTTTAAAGAAGTGAACATGTCAAATTTCAACCTCATACTTTTCACTTTTTAACACTTTTTTTAAACTCAGTGAAAGTCAAAGTAGGAAGATTTTTGTAGTGTAAAGAAGACAGTGAAACAAGAAATGGAAGTGTATGCTATTAAAAAAATCAATATATTAGCCAATATGTTAGAGATGCCTGAGGAGAATGGGTATAATTAGAAGCAAAAAGATTATTGTGTGTCTCCCTTCATTCCTTCTCACAAATCACAAAAGGGAAGAGACCAAAAAACTGCAGGTCCCACATTTTATGTCTATCCTAAGTATCTGTTTTTTTAAGCAAACTGAGTTTCTTTACATTCTTCTCTTTTTTCTGGTGAAACAAGCGTAGCATAAAGATGTAAATATCTGAAATATAAAGACTTCTCTAGTCTCCCTCAAAATATTCATGATGATATTAAGGGGGTAAGGGTAATAACAATTTCAATTACCATCTACATCCTTATCTGTTCAAAGGGAAAACTATTTTGTATCTGCTGAAACAGATTTTATCCAATGGCTTGGTCTAATCTCATGTTTTCTTCAACTGCAATGCTGATGACAGTTTGTTCCAGCAGCTTCTGTTTTCGGTTCATCTTGGTCTGATTGGCACCGTATATTTACTCACACAAAGCAAGTCCCTTGCAACTG